CATCTCTTTTAACACTATACTGTAGGTAAGATGCCATCAGGGCCCTGTGATTTATTTATTTTGAGCTTAGCTAGGCTTTGCAAAACATCAGCTTCAGTTATATACTGTATATATTAGTTATAGACGATGTTGGATTAGTAATAAGAACTGGTAAGTTACTAGTGTCCTCAACAGTGAATACCCGTGCAAAACTATCATTGAACTCATTTACTTTATCAATGTCGTTTTCAATTATAAGACCCTTACTAACCTTTTCAGCTGAATAGGACTTAAACCTGTACTACCATAAGTTCAGTTTTCTGAACGCTTTCCTGCTTGCTCAAGGTTATTTGTTCCCGATCATTAGTTAATACTTTCTGTCAAACACTATTCCTGTGTTTTATCCTATACTCTACTGACTTAAGTTTCTTATACTTGATGCCATGATGCTTTGTCTGTTGCACCAACAAGCCCCCGCAGTTCCCATTGTCCGAATGAGCACTGCACACACATACCTTCTCTTTCTCGCTGTCTGTTGTCATGGAGATCCCACTGCTCAAGGATGCTGAGATACTAAATTGCCTCCCACTCAAGTTAAATTCACCTGAGTTCCACTCAAATAAGATTCTGTATGTAATCTTTTGTTTATAAGGTTCTTTTATTTTGTCCTAGCTACAGAAGTGGTTGGTTAGCATTTTTTAAAAGTGAGAAAGAGGATGTGCTGCTTTTGTTTCTCAAGAGATGATGAAGGGCTTTGGGCATCGCCACCTTTCTGTGACTTGGGTACTGCTGTAGTTTGTCTATGGTATGTTCCTGTCTCTGATGAGTCTGGAGAAATATGCAAACAATGTTGTGGGCTCTTTCCCAGATTTTTATAAGTGTTTCTTTTAACTAATAAAATTCTATCAAATTTTATCATGGAATTTTATTTATATATAAAAAAGATCACAAAATCAAGTGTGAAATACATTCACTGACAATATAAAGAGCTGTTAAGTACAACTTTAGGAAGAATAAATAATTTGTAAAAATTGCATGAAAAGATATAAACAGTCCGGCATAAAATATGCAAATAAATATAATTACATATCACGCATAAGTCTTAGATAGTCATAGAAAATTATGCTTAAATGATCTTCATGTTGGCTATTATGTCTTTCAAAATGTGTCAGCTTAACCATTTCAAAACCACAACTAAAACTACCCCAGTATTTGTAGGAACCACCCAATACACTAACGTATTTTTTTATTTGACTATTAGCATAACTCATATGGCCAATCAATACCTCACTGACTTTTTAAATTATTCAAACTAATTACTCGTGATAAGCTTGTGATTGAACAAATACATGGAATGGCTGAGGTGCCCCTGAGGAGAGGTTTGGGAACTGCGGCAGTGTTCACCTAGACATCCAACAAGATATCAGTAATATTCTGGAGAAAAGAAAAAAATACTGTACTCTATCGTGTTACTCTTCATATGCATATATTTTGATGTTAAATTGTGTTTCTTTTGTTCTGGGAAAATATATATTTACTAACCAGATTAATAGTTTTATATAGTCCTTTGACTGCCTAACATTTTGCAGAGTAGTGTTTATAGTGTGATTTTTTTTTTATTAGTGAGATTAGTGAGTGATAAAAATCATAGTCAAGCCCCAGCTTGTTTCCTCGGCTGGCTAAATGCTGACAAGATTCATTTATTTTGCTGCCACCATCTGTTTTTTTTTGATACAGAATTGCAAAACACACACATTATTTGTCCTTTTTTAATTACAAGCTGAACGTAAGAAGTAAGAACGAAGTACTATGATCTGTAGAGGAAAGATCTGATGTTTTAGCTCTGAGTCTCTAGGTTCCCAGGCATATCCCAGGAAGAGTGTATGAGAGTATAATATAAGTATAAAAATATTAAAGTACAAATGTTATACTTTATTACATAGATATTTAGTAGTAGTAGTGGTAGTAGTAGTAGTAATATAAAAATAATAACAATACTACTACTACTAACAATAATAATAATTATTATTATTATTATAATTATTATTATTATTACGCATGTACAGACGCAAACCTCAACCGTCTTGGAAATACCAACCTCTCCCTGTTAAAGAGCTATGATCACACTTCAGAAACACATGGGCTCACATGCACATCAACAGACCAAAACAAAGCAGACTTGGAGCACTGGTAAAGGGATTAAATCACTTCTTTTCGGTAAAGCTCTACTGGAGCTATTATTCTGTTTCCATAGGAGAGTGATATTGTATTGTATATATGTGCACTCAATTGAAAAACACTTCAGTCGATGAAAAGACTGATATTAATTAATGTGCAAAATGCATTTAAAGTAGGCTTCAATGAATTATCTAGTTTAACACTTCTTTTCAGCCAATAAACCCTAAATAATATGTTGTATTCTGGAAGGTTGAATAGTTGATCTCTTGCCGATCCTCTAAATGTGACATTTCAGTTGTAGGAATAATTATAGTCTTTTGCATGCGTACATGCTCTTATGGGGTCAATGTAATATGATATGGGGGAGCTTGTCTGTCTTTCTTTAACCTTTAATGTGTATTAGCATAATTCTCATTAGGGTCATACATTCAGAGTTCCAATTAATGCCATTTTTACCACCTGTTCAATGGCTCTGAAATTTACTGTATTAGAGCCATTTCAGCCCCCTGTTTCACTTTGAGTGGCAATTTCAGTTTGTTGCTGGAGGATTACTTAGCTATAGATTATAGTGGGAGCCCTTCTCCAGCTCTATGTATTATGTAGAGGAAATTGGCATTTTGGATGACAGATTGTTATTAGCAGTCTTACAAGCTCAGACACCAAGTGAATGTGTGTTCAAACCACCCTCTTCTTCAGTTTTGACAGGGTGGGGGTGGGGAGGATTGTTAGACATTGTCCTGTTACTTATGTGGAACACAAAGAACAACCAAAAATAAGCTTGGACTGGCGGGCTTTGTTTAAGCATTGTAGCTATATTGTCATATATTTTATGCTTTTTAAAATACACATATACATGTTTCAGGTATCAATGCTCGCAATTTGAAGTGCTTATACATGTGAAAGTTGTTTTCCTTAGATATTTTAAAACCACAGATTTAATACAAAATTAAATGCATGAATAGATGCAAATAAGTCATAACTTCAAATCCTTAATTGCATGTTTCTATCATCAGGGGTTGCCTTTGGATCCATTAGTGACCTTTCTTTTTTGTAACAGGATACTGCATGTTATTTTCCTAATACCACATAGTTTTGGAGGCATGAGAGATCAGAATCATCCCTCATCTGAGGGGTCCGAAATGCATCTCCAGTGTTTTGTAGTAATGGCCATCCTCAAACAGAATGCCTGCTATCTGAACAAGGAGAGTAAAGGCAAATATGCAAAAGAAAATGTAATTCAGAGCCAAATCTATAACACCGTATGTCTCAGGAACACATCTGCTTCTTGTATTCTTGGTGCTGGCCTTGAGAGAAGCTTCCTTATTGGCTGTACCTTTGCTGTCAGTCAGCATGGATACCCTCTCTAATCCTTCCTCAGTTTATCTCAATCTCTCATCCACAAGCCAGCCAGCGGAGTATTCAGCCTCTCTCACTCTCTCACATGCTTGCACGCCCTCTATGGTTATCATTTCCATAATCAGACCTGTCTTCTGTTCACATCTTTCTCTCTCTCTCTGTCTGTTTAATGTTCCCTTCAATTTGTTCCTGTTCAGCGTCTTTCTCCAAATGCTTTAAAGAGTACAGTCAGACCTTCCTAAGGTGGATTATCAGATACTTTACAAGGATGTAATTCAAAGGAGTACAGTGTTCTTTGAAGGAAAAACTGGTGGTAAGTTGGGACATCTCTGCCGATTTTGTAGCATTAGCCATTGGAAAACAAATCATAAGAATAGACATTTGTGACTATATTTGTGCCTTGTACTCATTAGTGCCAAGTTGATTCATTCATAAATAAAATTCTATTCATAGCTGTAGCAACACTGTTACATTTAATTCTGTCTCTAATTTTGGGAGACATTTATGCTGTATGATTGACAAAAATATAAGCTTAGAAAAAGTGTGGAGATTGATCAGAATTTCTGAAAATTGAAAGGAACACCAACAACATTTACAATCAATGTGAAAATGGTTTCCAAACACATTTTAGTTTTATTTCATTAATAACACTTACAGGTTATTAAAATATATTAAGTACAGTCTTTTGTTTGACTGTTCTTTTCAGACATTGAGTAAGGCTTACATTGAACTAAATATTGCTGAAACATTTTGCAATATAAGGTAAAAGAGAGTTTAGCATTTATTTATATTTTGACAGTAACGTCACTACATCTATGCATGCAACAACAATATAAAATGAATACAAAAAGAATTTCATAGAAACACAACCGTTAAAATATTTTTATTAGTTAAATATGATTCTGCAAATGTTTACAGATGAATTCACCAACTTTATCCAACCTTTTTACCAAATAATAAAACAACTTTCATACACACACACACACACACACACACAGGTAAACATATCTTTATGGGGACTGTTCTTTCATTTCTATGGGAAAAATGCTAGTGCTAACTATGACTACCTTAACCCCTACCCAGCCCTAACCATAACCATAAGTAACCAAGCAAATACAAGAGCTTTTGTATTTTTAGTTTTTTCATCGCAGTCACGGATTTTTATTAAATTGAGTTTTCCCTTATGGGGACCAGGAAACTGTCCACATTAGGGGAAAAAAGCGGGTATTCATCACGTTGTGGGGACATTGTGCCCCCATAAGGTAAGGTATCCCCGCTCACACACACACACACACACACACAGGTTTGTAATTATATCTTTGTGGGGACTCTCCATTCACTTCTATGGGGTATACTCTAATCCCAACATTACGACCTTAACCTGTAAATAGTAATTTATTAATAGTAATTGATTGCATTCACAGATCTTTGTGGGGACCTGAAAAATGTTCAAAATAGCAGGTTTTTACATATATGTTGTGACTACTGTACATCCAGCGAAAAGTGGAGAGATCAAAAGAACTACCTATCATTTTAATCATTTGAATTTGCTGTGGTTTACAGCGATACAGCGGCTATTAAGTATTCATAAAATATTCATAAAGATCATGTATGTATACCTTAACATCCTTAACATCTGTAATATACACTAATAACAAACATTATATAATAATAACAAACATCATAATTGTATAAGCATGTAATGTTTGTTATTAATGTATTAATAAATAAAGCTGTTAGGGGATGTTAGGATGTTAAGGTCTACTTGCATGTTGCGTATGAATGTTCTATGAATGCATAATGAATGCATTATGAAGGTGCACTTAATGTAAAGCGCTACCGAACAAATAATACCTTTGGGAATTTTACACTGAACTTTACAGAGAAGAACCTCAAAAGACACACCTTTCTTCAGAAGAGGATTCAGCTATACTGCAGGGAGTATGACATTTCTATCCACCAGACTGTTAGCAAAGATAGCAAAGGCTGCTCGGAATAATAACTGGGCTGGATTGGCCAGCTGGCATACTGAGCATTTTCCTGCTGGGCTGATGGGTTTGTGAGCTGGAAAAAGGCTTTGCGGGAGCCCTCAACCCTCAATCGGCAAAATTCATCATGGGGAACCCCACCCCGCTTGCCCACTAGCAATTTTTATCATAGCTATGCATCTGTGGTGTGCCTGTATGGAGAAAAGTCCAAGGCTGATTTTTAATGCGAGTACAGTCCTGAATGGTAAGAATGTGTCATTGAGGTGTAGGAGTGGCTGTTATGAACAAGGTGAGAGGACTGTTACAGGCGATTTACCATTCATTTGGACAAGACAGTCTCTCTGACCTGGTGTTGTAGCAAGATCCAATTGTAATTTTATTATTTTTCCACTGATAAATGCAGTCTGAGGATAATCAGGTAGGTGACAACAAAAAACAAGATGGCAATGATCATTCTGAATAAATATATTGACTATTCACTGAGCTTCATTGGTTTTTAAATGTTGTTTCTGAAGTAGTAAGTCTGTTCAGTAATACCAAATTGGATGCTTAAAGGAGAGGACTTGGTATAAAATTGCAGTTTTACTTGCAAACCTTGTACTAGGTGTCTTTCTTCAATGATTACAGCTAAATGCAAATTCCACTCCGATACAAAGTGAGGGAAGAGTGGGCAGTGATTATGCACGCTTTCTGTTGAAGGCCAAAGACAAATACATGAAGAACAAACTGCAATCTAAATATCAGCTTGTCAAATTTCTGCCACTAAAAACCATTATCAGTCATTCTCATGCAACCCAACAGTCATTTCACCCAATAAAGCAGACTCTTAAACACTGGGTGTACTGGTTTTCTCACAAATTTCACTCAGTTGTATTACTGAAGGGATTATTATTATGTTGATATCAACCTCAGTGTTTCCGCTGGCAATTTGTAGGGATCTAGTCTGTATGGACCAGTGTTAAAACCCTCAAAGCAGAATGATCCAGAATGCATTTTTCCATGTTTTGAGATTTTATATTGTATTTGGTACATTTCCCAAATAAAACACTAATCCTTAATGCAGGAATTATTTTAGAATGGAAATATATAGCATTTGGTAATGGGTGCATGGTTTGACAGAAAATAAAACCAATTTTCGGTTTTAGAGAGGAGAGTAAGAGGGTATCCAATATTTGCAATATTTGAGTGCGTTTTTGGAATAATTCAGTTGTCAGACACTAGAAATGTCATTCAAAAGAAGAAAATAGTTGGCTTAGAGGTCACGATTCAATTCATACACATAGTTATATATAAAGACTTAATTTAACTTCCATATAGCAGTAAGCGCTGAATCTTCACTAAACTGGATACAATTGTTTTATTTTTTATTTTTTTTAATCTCTTTTTAAAAATATTTTATTTCCTGAGAAAACATTTTTGTACTTGAAAAAGGTATTTTTTACAGTAAACTATTTTCATTCCTTTCACTTTGCTTTCAACTAAGTAGATCAACTCCAGTCCTGGAGGGCCGGAGCCCTGCACATTTTTGGGTTTCCCCTAATTTAACACACCTGATTCAACTCCATGTGCTAATTACCACACAGCTCTTGAGCTGAATCATTTATGGTGGAACAGGGAAAGAACTAAGCTACACAGGGCTCCGACCCTCCAGGACTGGAGTTTGACACCCCTGTAGTAGATAGACAGCGATAGACGTAATGTAAGACAAACGGTACAAATCGAGAATATTGAAAACATTTTAAAAGATTTTATTACCTGTCATATATAAAGTTACATTGTCAAAAAAAACAGTTATTCTTGTATATATAGACAAACAGTGTATCACCTTGTTTTCTTCTCAGATCCTGGAAGAACAGCATTGTGATCTCCCATGATGCCACAGTCACAGGAAGAGTAGATGTAATGGGGGATTCTGTAGAGGTACGCACAGATGGCAACTCCTTGCTGAAGGCTGTCTACTTGTGCCGCCTGCGCCTGACACGCCTGCTGCTGGAGGGCGGAGCGTACATCAATGAGAGTAATGAACGTGGGGAGACCCCCCTGATGATCGCCTGCAAGACGAAACATGCCGACCAGCAGAGCGTGAGCAAACCCAAGATGATCAAGTACCTCCTGGAAAATGGTGCTGACCCAAATATCCAGGACAAATTAGGGAAGACGGCTCTGATGCACGCCTGCTTGGAACGGGCCGGCGTGGAGGTCGTCTCCCTGCTTCTGGCAAGCGGCGCTGACCCCAGCCTAGAGGACCACTCGGGCTCCTCGGCCCTGGTCCACGCTGTCAACGCTAATGAGAAGGATACGCTCAAAGTGCTGCTTGATGCATGCAAAGCCAGAGGCAAGGAAGTCATCATTATCACCACTGACAAGCTGCCCTCAGGGAAGCAGATGACTAAGCAGTACCTCAACGTCCCTCCACTGCCTGACTTGGAGGATCAGCTCCTCTACACCCCCATGTCTTGCATGTCTCCCTCTGAAATAGAGCTCCGTACTTCACAACAAGCCGTTGACCCCCAGCTAGAGAAACGTATATTCAATTTCCAGAATTCTAACAGTGTCACCTCTCAACCAGGTTCACCAATGCATGACCCAAGTCCCCTGCAGCCAGGAGTAGCTAAGATCCTCCATTTGCAAAGACTGCATTCTGAACCTTGGTTGAAGATCCCATCTTCTCTGCTGCTGCAGCAGAACAAAGCATCCTCATTTACCGAAGACCTAATGGACATCACTCCGGAGGAGGAGCTCTCTTTCAGGATCAATGGGTTAAGAATTCCTCGAGCCCCGGTTACCCGCCAGCAGAGCATTGACATCAGAGATACAGCGGGTCTGAGCATAGCTTTGGACCAAGGGGTTAACAATGAAGACGGCCCAGGAGGAGGGAGGGGCCTGGGTCGGAAGATGTCATATGATGACATCTCATCATCTCACTCTTCCTCACACCTTGATCTTCACCGTAACAGTGGAGCAGCACCTATCCCAGTGCACAAAGACCCTGACTGCCTGCCCAATCTGGCTGTGTCTAGTCTGCGCAACATTGTCCAAAGGCGAAATATAGGAATTGACCACTATAGCTCTGATTCCCAATTGCCCCAGTCTAGCAGCCTTGATGACTACAAGAGTGCACCAGAAAAGAGGAAGCTGGTTTCAACCCGTTCCTCTACCTTGTCCAACTCTAGAGAGTCCTTGGAGAGTTTGGCCAGGAGAAACCCAGCCATACTGGAACGCAGGGGGTCTGGAGCTCTACTCCTGGATCACATTTCCCATACCAGACCTGGGTACCTGCCACCATTAAATCCCCATGTTCCTATCCCCGACATTGGCGGCAGCAGCACAGCCACAAACAGCACCATGAAACCAGCATGTGGGATGTCAGCTAATATGGGGCCCAAATCCCTAATTGCCTGTGTTCCCAACTTCCCCAAGGATCTCAAGACCAAGAAGATGTTGCTACGTCGTCATTCCATGCAAACAGAGCAAATCAAACAACTAGTCAACTTTGAAGAGATATTTGGCCGCTAATACTGCCATAAACCATAGTTTCAGGAACCAGTATCCACTTATAAAGCTGCAAGTTATTTGTGCTATAGCTCATGTGTGTCAATGTGAATCATCTTTAAAGCAGAACACAGCCAGCCATATTTTGAATGGCAATTTAAAAATGGCTTGTGCTTTATTTAGATTCAGATCTGTTTCATGAAGAAAATACTTTTGTCAACAGAATTCATGGATGCTACTGAAATGTGCAGTATTATGAGATAAAAAGCAATCTCAGACTATAACATAAACCATTGTGATATTTTACACACTATTATTTATGGCTTATTCAAAGCCATAAATAGTAATGACTTACTTCACATTTTAGGGCTTAAATATATAGTTTTAATTTTATGATTATATTATTGTTATTATTATGTCATTATTATTATTGGGTTCAATTTTACCATGTAAAATATACTGCACTATACTTCAGCTGAAATAACAAGAATGTGAAGGTTATTTTGTGATTGTTACCAGTATAATACTAATAGTGAAGTATATTTTATATGGTGATGTAAAGAGCAAACAATATTAATAATACTATATTCACAGAATTAAAACTTGCTTTAAAGCATCTGATTGATGTTTATGTAATAAACTGTAATATCCTCCAATACTGTATACCCTGCTTTCACGTGCTAGCTATGTAAGTACCTAAAAATTAAGAATTCTTTTTTAGAACGAAGGCTCATAATATAGGAATGCATGTATTTGACTGAGAGAAAATTAAATCTATAAATGGCTTGTCAAAAAAAATGTATATACACAAACTGCCTTAGTTTGTTCATCTCTTTTTTGACAATTGGAGTACAAAACACTGCATCTTTTGAGACACCAAAGATGTCTTTAAAATCTTCTATTTATGAAGCAAACTATAGACAGTTAATAAAACCCTGGATAGACATTGCACATTAATGACTCATATACCCATTAATTTATTCATATTATTAAACTCAGATACAATGTTAATCTATGTATAGCATTTTAAGTCTTCTAATGGAAACAATTCTGAAAGGAAGCTGTAATTCTCACTCTTTGGCTGTTGTTCTGCATAGTGAAGCGAATGACAGAAGGTGCATTTTGATATTTTATTTCCCATGTATGTAATGTGATCGTAGCTGAAAATCATTCATTGTAAATAAACTATTTCCAAAACCCTGCGTATTACTGTTGTGACATCACATGGTGCTCTACCATTCTAATTATCACATTTAACATTTTTTACATTAACAAAAGACTACTGTAAACATGGATTACTTGCGTAACTTCAGCATTTTTAAATGTCAAATGGGCATATACAGTATATATATATAGGATTATTATATATAGTTGAGGGAGAATTTTATGTATTAACAAAATAACTCATTAGCACACCATTATGTTTATTCTTACTTTTGTTTTCTGCCCTATCATTACTTACCTTACAGTTAGGTCCATATATATTTGGACACTGACACAAGTTTTACTATTTTACCTGTTTACTGAAATATATTCCAATTGAAGTTATACAATGGGCATGGACATAAAGTGCAAACTCTCAGATTTCATTTTAGGGCCCTCGCGAACGTTTTGCCCAGGGGCCCACACAACCCATAATCCGTCCCTGCATGAAGGGTTTAGGAGTTTCAGCTTAACATGTGCCATGCTCTTTCTAAAGGGGCCAAAAGTAATAGGACAATTAATTTAAAAGCTGTTTCATGGACAGGTGTGGGCAATTCCTTCGTTCTTTCATTATCAATTAAGCAGATAAAAGGCCTGGAGTTGATTTGAGGTGTCTTGTTTGCATTTGGAAGACTGAGGTGTGAACATACAGCATTGTTCTTGAAAGAAAGCATTGGTGAACTCAGCAATGCAAAAAGGCCTGGACGGCCACGGATGACAACAGCGGTGGATGATCGCAGAATCATTTCCATGGTGAAGAGAAACCCCTTCGTAACAGCCAACCAAGTGAACAACACTCTCCAGGAGGTAGGTGTATCAATATCCAAGTCTACCATAAAAAGAAGATTGCATGAAAGCAAATACAGAGGGTTCACTGCAAGACGCAAGCCACTCATAAGCCTTAAGAATAGAAAGGCTAGATTGGACTTTGCAAAAAAACATCTAAAAAAAGCCAGCACAGTTCTGGAACAGCATTCTTTGGATAGATGAAACCAAGATAAAGCTGTATCAGAATGATGAAAAGAAAAAAATATGGAGAAGGGCTGGAACAGCTTATGATCCAAACAACACCGCATCATCTGTAAGGCATGCTGGAGGCAGTGTGACGGCTTGGGCGTGCATGGCTGCCAGTGGCTGCCAGTGGCACTGGGTCTTTAGTGTTTCTTGATGATGTGACACAGGATGGAAGCAGCCGAATGAATGCTGAGGTGTTCAGAGACATCATGCCTGCTCAAATCCAGCCAAATGCAGCCAAATTGATTGGGTGGCGTTTCAATGACCCAAAACCCACAGCAAAAGCAACCCAGGACTTTATTAAAGCAAAGAAGTGGAATATTCTCGAATGGCCAAGTCAATCACCTGATCTCAATCCCATTGAGCATGCATTTCACTTGCTAAAGATTAAACTACAGACAGAAAGACCCTCAAACAACTGAAAGCTGCTGCAGTAAAGGCCTGTAGGAGCATTAAAAAGGAGGAAACCCAGCGTCTGGTCATGTCCATGAGTTCAAGACTTCAGACAGTCATTGCCTGCAAAGGGGTTTCAACTAAGTATTAGAATTGAACATTTTATTTGCAGTTATATTAATTTGTCCAATTACTTATGAGCCCCTGAAAGGAGGGAATTGTGTAGGAAAAATATTTTAGTTCCCCACATTTTTATGCAATGTTTTTGTTATACCCACTGAATTAAATCTGAAAGTCTGCACTTCAACTGCATCTGACTTATTGAAAAATTGAAAAACTTTGTCTCTGTCCAAATATTTATGACTGTAACTCCACCGTCTGTAATAATTTACATCTCAATCAGAAAAAGTGAATGCAAAAGGTATAGTTATCTATCTCCTTCCACACCCCAAATTAGCATGTCCACGCAATCTGTGCTACACTTGCTCGATCTGAACCCTCAGATGCCTTTTGCAGCCCAATGTAAGAGATAAATTCACATCACTTTCAATAAGCTCCAAAATAGCATACTTAGCACCAAATCAACCTGCTTCAATGAGTCAGAGTCTGCTTTAGTACCACAAAAAAGCTCAAAAAATATCCCTAGCTCTGCATAAGAGATATGCTTGTGGGTGCTGTGTACTCTTATACTGAATATTGCAGATTATCAGCACAATAAAATATAAATAATGCATATATAAATAAAACTCCCATATATATTATATTACATTATAAAGGCTGGATGTCGGCATTGATCCACACGGGGCCAAATACTGTCACTTTTTTTGCCCAAGATTTTTATATTGAAGAAACCATGTAAGCCTAAAAATTCTCACTAGATTTACACTAGATTAAGTGAAATTTCTATTCCACAGGAAAAACTGTACTGCATGCAAACATTGATCAGTGCATATCTAGCCTAAGACAGCGCTTTGCATTACCTGAAGGGCACACAGGTGAGCATGTTGCATACACTTGTTGTTCCCTGACTGCCATATTTTGATCCACTAGTGCACAATTTGCTTTACTCATTTGAAAGTTAAGTAAAATGAGTAAAAGAGGTCATCCAGAGATATTAGGATGTGTTATACAATGAGTAGAGAACCTTGCACTTCTCAAACACACAGGCAATTATTGTAGGCACTCATGTATACATTTACCAGTATTCTAAATGTCAAGAACAGGGCTTCTTTGTGTCACTGCGGAAACAGTCTGTATGACTGTAACCAGCAGGCCACAGTGTGTGTTTCTTTGTTGACAGCAGATGTTTCCAAGTGTAAAGCAAACTGCAGAGGGTTGCACCTTGTATTATAAGGCTGTAGCAATAGAACATTTGGCTTAATTAGGTAAACCTCACGGTTAATATGGCTCATGACTCTTATCACTGTTTTACTCACTGTTCAAGCAATGGATGGGATGACTTTTTCTCACAGAACACGTGGCCATTCAGTCATTCATAGCACCATACAGTTAATCATGTGTATAATGCTCAGAGTTAAAAAAAAATATATAAAAATATAAAAGCAGCACGAGTATCACAATAAAATTGCCCATGACTAAGAATATACTATAACATTAAAATAAACCAATCCATATGCTTCTGCAGTCTGAATTTGTTCGTTTTTATTTAGTAGTTTTGCCACCATAAAAACAGAATCGTCAACATACCGACATCGATAATACCAAACTTTTCATGATGCTTAACTGTTCGATATTCCTTAATTATAGAATAACTGTTCCCCTAATTCCCTTTGTCTGAAAAAGTGAACCTTAGTTTCCACTTGCTTAATTTACGTTCCTGAACTGATGTCTTTCTGAGTGCTTGAGCTGAGTTTCTTCAACATGGCAAGCTGTTGTTCTGGAATGTCATAGTAGACTCTTTTCTGGTCGATGTTCTGTCTGTAGGGAAGCAGGTCCTCCACGCTCCATTCATCAGTTTGGGCTGTCCACACAGTCAGACTGTATCTGAAAGGGATGGATTTGTCACCCTTTAGGGCAGCTGCCTTACTGTAAAAACTGCAGTGCACAGATGATTTGGTTTATATAATGTAATGTGTAAAGCAAAATTTGAAAAAGTCTTCGAATATTCTTCTACCTTTAAAATGTAAAGAAATGTGTAACTTAGCATTTTACATACACATAACAGCAGCAGTATGTGTGTAAAAAGTCTCACTATGCAAGGTAAATATAGTAACTCTGTTAGAGCACCATACAAACAAAAAACACAAGAGTTTGTCCATTACATTCCAAAAAAAATCCTATTATTACTATGCAAAATTTGATATTTCTTATAGAAAGAGGAGCTGACGTTATGATCAGGATAACTTAAATGTAGCTCAAATCCACAAAAGCTTCAAAATCAATATGGCAGGTTTTCCATCAGATTTATTTATGTGAAGTCAAGTATAGATCCAAGTATAGATGTTAAGTGAAGTGACTGCAATTATTTAAAATTGTAAATACGCTTCACTTCAGCACAAACTTTAGACTGCCATTGACAGAGTGGCATATGTAGGCCTGCTAGGCCCAAACCCCAATGACATGGATCATAAGCACTCAGGTGTACCTGCTAGACTGCTGAAGAAGCCACTGCAGCTGGTGGAAGGATTGGGCCAGAAGTGCAGCTCGCACAGGAAAGGTGACAGGCTGTTTCAGATGCCTACACACCTTTTCCATCTCCTGCACCATCTCCCAGCTATACCCTAGCATGGTAAAACCAGAGAGTCACTCATGAAGGATGTTAGAGACAAACAATTCCAATTATGCACTTTAAATTTCTTTGATTTATGAGACACACGTCACTGACATAGCATATACTGCTAGGCAATCAAAGCTGCTATGATTCTACAATTCCTCAATGCTTCCATGACTCAAGGAGGTCTTCCAACAAGCTGGATTTGGTTGGAATGCAAATGATGTGAAGCCTCAAAGTCAATGACTTTTTCTTTCAAAAGGTATTCAGAGGTTTCCCAACTATTAAGGTCTGGTCCCAAACATAGCATAACCCCTTGAGCTCCTTCTACGGCTTGATACAGAGGGCTGCATTTATCTGATTTCTGAAATATCAGAAAATGTTTAACCAGAGAGGGAAGCAGTTAACCAAGACACCCTGGCTGAATTATCTTATGTATTTGACTTCAAAGTGCACGCCAGGCTCTGACAGCAGGGATTATCTAAAACACAAACACTGGTTGCTTGTAGTTCCTAAAAACACACTACATTGTAATAATAAAGAAAAAGTTAATTATTTCTCAGATAAACATATCTTAATCAAAATGAGTCAGGATACCTGGATTATTTATGTTGGGGCTCCACCCTGTGGTCCAACCAAGGGATAGCACGTCACCTGGTAATCCTTCACTGACTGCTTGCAGGAAAGATGCAGGGTCAAGAGGGGTGGCGTTCCCCCCTGGGCCTGAGAGGATGTCGGCATTGATCCACACGGGGCCAAGCAGATGCCCCCTAACTTCTTCCAGTAGTCTCATGGAGGGTGCCACAGCTTGAAGGCTATAGTCCAAAACCATTCACGATTTGCTGAGATTTTCAACATGATGTTAATTAAGACCATGTCAAAACTTATATAATAAGTAATTGTGAAGGCTACAATGCTATTTATAGAGTCCCCATCATTTATGTTTTCAGTTATTATTCGTGGGAAATGTAATAATTAGATCATGAAGGCACAAAGTGAAAACCTGCACATCCAAAGACACTATATGCTTTCTGACGGGCTCAATTTTAGTTTGTCTTAGCAAGCAATAAAACAACTCTACCTTTTGAAATCCAGCTTAATTCCTTTTTCAGACATCAAAACCTCTTTCAGCCAGTCATGCAAGGTGATATCACTGTCAGTGGCAGGTGGATGAGCCATGATGGGATCTGTGGGGTCATAACCTCTAAGAATGATGTCTGCTTCAATCATCAGAGAAGAACCTAAATTAACGGGAAATAAATAATCTGGATTTAGTTTATTTCTTGCATCAAAGTGGAGTAGAGAAACAACCATAAGGGCTGAAGTACAAATATTTAACTATCCCTTGTAGGGTTTTTTTTAATTAAATACCATACATCTTAGACACTCAATACTGTAATGTTAATACCTTCAGAAATATGATACCCAGTGAAAACCTTCCAATATCTGGGAACTGCCGCTGCGATAAACCCAGTACGAGGCGCTTACTTTGCAGTCCTTCCGCGATTCCGGACCAGCTGTTGGCGGCATGGAACCACCCGACATCCGCCGCGTCCTCATTTTCAATTTTCCCTTTTCTAAGGAAATACTGCAACGTTTCGTCTCCCATTCTCACTAAAACACAGATAACACCCGATAACCAACACATGAGATTCAGCTCCCCAGTACCGGACCCATACTTCGCTTCCTCTGTGACCTTTCATTCACTGTCAATCTTAAAAACAGATCTGCGTTACTGAAGGCTTATTACTACTGTTATATATTTTAAATAATTTTACTGCCATTTTAATATGATCGAACGGGACACTGGGTCACACTATCGGATTAACTTTAACATGTTCATGCTGTCTCACTTGTTATGTGGTTATAATATATAATCATATATTATTAGAGTCAATGGGATGTAACAATCAAGTGACAGCGCGCAGCGGCCAGTAAAGTATCTCTTTCCCCCGGTCGAGGCTATAGAGACCTGGTGTAGCCTCGGTTCGCCACTTCAGGCTCCAGGTCGTCCACGTTATCGTTATTAAAACTAAAAGAAAACCGACAAGACGTGCATATCCACATCTAATCAAGGTAAACATACCCGGTAAGTAAAAAGTTTTCCTTCATACGGAACGCAAAGCAAGAACACTTCCTGTACACAGCCCTATGGGATATGTAGTACGATAGTACAACATCAAAAACCGTCCGTATCCATCCATGTTCCAGGAGTAGGTTGACCAGATAATCCATATCAGGAAGGGCATTTTGAGCTAAGACAATATCTGTAAAAAAAACAAAACATTTAAATTAAAAAGACCTGGATTTCACTTTAGCACTGACTTCTTGCTGTGTGATGATTTGATCAGTGTCCTATAATCATGAATGTGTCACTAATGTTAATGTGAAACAGCTGGATGAGTCTTTCAGTCAAGGAAATAAACCAGTCCAAGCTCAAGAAGAACTATTTAGCCAAACACAGGAGACTTTCAGTATTAAAGTAGCTTGTAAAATCTGACGTTGCTAAAAGTGTCCTCCCTGACATGGATTATCTGGCCACCATACCCAACCGCTTGTCTTGCCAGGATACACAATTACAAAAACATCAATAATTTATCTTCTGTCATCCACAGGTAGGAATGATGGCGGTACTAAACCACTTGAATCCCAATATTTATAAGAAAGTCTTTACTTTCTTTGCATACTTAGAATTAATGATGGGCCTATAAAGCTTCATGAAGTTTTCGAGTGTTCGGAACGTGCCGGAACGTGTTTCGAGTCTTCGAACCTTTTTTTAAACATTGGGAGACCCCTACTGGGTTTTGGCAAGACTTCGAATTTGGGATGAACTTATTAATTGTTGTTAAATTGTGCCCATTTTCACTTGTTGGGCTTTAGAGGTGGGGGAAAGAATGAGGTGCCTTGGGGGTGCAGCTTGACAGTCTCTCGGGGGCAATGAAGACATTTAGCACATTGAGGATGTGTTACTGCCGTATGACAGATATCTGGAGCAATGCAAACCAGGGGGGTATTTCATGAAGCAGGATTTCTTGCTTAGCTGGATAACTTGTCAGATTTAAGGTAGTCTGAGCTACTTTTAAGTGGATATAGTCCATTTGGCTCAGCCTACCTTAAATCCAATAAGCAAGAAATCCTGCTTCGTGAAATACCCCCCTGGCCAGTACAATAATAAATATGAATATAATAACTTATATTAATTAATTTTGCAGACTCTTTTGTCCAAAAAGATTTACAACAAGTGAATGGAAACCCAGCTTCCCCCATGGCAGGCGAGAAATGGCCCATTGAACAAGCAAAGGAACATAATAATAATAATAATAATAATAATACTTATAAAAATTTCATATTTTGCCATATCAATATTCATTCACCTTATTGGGAGACATCAATACAGTATTTAGTTCACATCATGATATATATTCAATTTTAAAAGGTACAGTAAATCAACAATTATGCACATAGTAATTGGTAATTTTAGATAATGCATTCTGCATTACTATATAAATTTATATTACAATGCTAAACACTTCAACTGTCCTGACCTGATGATCAAGTTGTGTCTCAAACATTATACAGGTATATTGTATAAAAAAATTATTTAAAAGAAACTATTACTTTTTATCCATCCCAAACAATTGTGAATTTTTTACTGCGTAAGAAAAATGTCATACTGTACATACATTGTGATGTGACAAAACATTGCTTCATTTAATATATTAAGTTTATTCATCACAAAAGTAAAAATCACTTTGCCGTTGATAACGTCAAAGTTCCATGGTTTTATCATTTTATACATAAAAATCCTGCATTACATTCATTAGATTTCAGAACAAGTAGCATTATGCACCAAGAACTTCAATGTAGAAATAAAAATTTCATTAAAATAAACTCCAGTGTTATAAAATTACAAGCTGCACATCAATACCGACAACTGGCATGGTGCACACCCAAAGGTCAAGGTCAGTTCCTTTTAGCGGAATAAAAAAAAATCTCAGGCACATTCAAAATTTGCGTCATTATAATATTGATATAATCTTTCTTTTATGCTGGTTCCATTGTGAGCTTCCCTTTTATTTGCCTGTGTGTCTGAGTGTCTGCATTGTCCCCTGGATTATGAGGAACAGAAAGGCGTTTGGAGAGTCGCCCATCAGTGTTCCCCGCCTCGAGCCCTGCCATCGGACCGGCCATCCCAGAGTCCGGCCCTTTTAGCTGCAGCAGCCGCTGCTCCAATTCCGCTGTGTTTCGAGCAAGCATATAACTGACCTTCCTCTGGTGCGCCAGAGCCTCCTCCTTGTCATTTAGCTGTAAGGAGAAGCATATAGATATAGATACGCCAAGACGGGAAAACTCACTAAGTTCAAAAGCATTGCTCTGAAACAAAAATTCTTTTCAGCTATGGATATATTCACATAAAACCATGTAAGAATAGACAGTATAAGGAAACATTCTCATTTTGTTGTATTTATAAAAGGAGTCAAATTCTGGGGAAAATAAAAGTAAAAAGGAACAACAAAACTCCTAACTTTTCTTAAATCTGCCTACTTACTCAGGAACACTGATTTTGTAATGTCACCTGAAGTCTAACTGACCAGGTCGATTAGGTGGTGCAGAGTGTCAGGGAGGTCATTCGAAATCTGTCCCTCAGGTGTGGACTGCAGCATCCCTCTTAGTTTCTGTGCCACCTTGACAGATCCTGGTACTGACAAACACACACTATTGAAATAACACCTGTATCCTGACAGACTTTATGATATCTTGCACACACTCATGTCACACACATTTATAATGTCTCTATATGACTGACTGGCACAGTGACAGTGTAAGGATGCCATTGACTTCATACAGTCCCAATAAAGTACCATAAGACTGTAATTTGGCAGTATATGACAAGACCAATGTGACAAACATGAATGTTTTGCTTTTAACGTGAACCTCACTTTCTCCCCTGTGGCCAAGAACGTCCTTGCAAAGGCGGCCTTCTTTCTCGGCCAGACGGAGGACCTGGTCGCTCCTCCTCTTCAGCTGCTGCTCAAAAGCAATACGAAATGCATCTGCCATCATGTAGGCCTCCTCCTTCCTCCTCCTCTGCATCTCCACCTGAAATAAAGGATGCATCCTTCCCCTACTGTAAAAGCACACCAAACACTATACAATGGAGAAGTACAAAGATGAGTAAGGTTATTTGCTTCTATTTCTATATTATGGTTTACACAAAGTAAACCTAATTTTCACTTCAAGTATCACTTCCGGTATCAATAGCCGAAACATCACCGAAGCTCCTGTAAAAAGACAAGCTAAATGTCAAATATCCCTTGACTCCCTTACCTCCTGTGTGAGCTGAAGCACCTGCTTTCGGCTGGTAGCTGCAGCCCTGGCACAGAGACAGGGATCCCCCTCGCTGACACTGCAGCAGCAGGCCCCAAGGACGGCCAGCTGGGCCACAGATACAAACAAGCACAGTCATGTGTCGCTTTATAATCTTAAAGGACCACCACTGTATATGCAGTTTGTCTTTGACATCCAGTGCCCATACTTCCAATGCTGTGTCGTCTCTCCCCAAGCCGCTGCAAACAGGAAGTGACCCCTTGAAAGCTCTCTGCTGTTCCACACTTAACAAAGACATAAGCTCTAGGCACCGCTGGCTCAGGACTGCCGGAGGAAAAATGGTAGATGAAAAACACTTAAGCATCTCAACAATAAAATGAATATCATTCATTCTACTTTAAATGTACTTTAAATTAATTCATACTGGAATAGGTAATCTGTCCTACAAGCGGGTCTTATGTCTGAGGGATCATGCAGCTTAGAAATACTGACTAATAACATTATTGTTGTACAAAAAAAGGTCACCATACCCAGAAATGACCATGACTAAACTGTGATTTTTGTAATTGCAGGGTTTGGGATACCTACAGGTATTCTCTGATCTCAGCTCCTGCACCATCTTTGCAGTCTCTTCTACAGTGTCACTCAGTGTCTTATTTTCAATGCACATCCTGATACCACAAAACACATGCAAAAGCTTTATTTACAAAGCACTGCTAATCTGTCTGCTATTCTATAAATGCAATACATAACCATTATGACTCATTAATGTGACCGTCTGCATCACTGTTACAGTATTCAAATATACCTTTCATACTTGTCTTTCCAGGACTGCTCAATGTTCTTAAATCGTTCCTGGTTGAAGGTGATTTCCCACTGTAAAGTATTCACTTCCTGAAAGGAAGCATAACTTGAAACAATGTGGGAGCGTAAGGACATCTACTGGCTACTCTGCGTGCTTTTCATTTGATCTGATTCAACACAGAAAGAGTGAGGAAATTTTAGCCCAATTAACTCAGAACAAGTAGAATAAAACACAACAGAACAACATTATAAAGATGCATTAAAATGTGGGAACCACTACAGCAGGGGTGGCCAATCTTATCCGCAAAGGGCCGGTGTGTACGCAGGTTTCTGTAGGTCAACTGTTCAAACCCAGGTGTGAGGACTCTTCAGCCAATCAGTCCTCTAATTAGTAATCTAATTAGGGAGTTGCAGCGAAAACCTGCATACACAACAACACTTTGCAGATAAGATTGTTTACTGCAGTGAAGGGTTGGCCAAACACAGCAAAACAAATTCTGTATACAGTAATCAAAGCAAATGTATTTTAAATCTCAAAATAAAATGTACATAATTTAAAAAAAGCATGGTGTACAAAATTTCCAAAACACCAAATGAAAAGGACTTCAACACTGAAGTAAATAAATCACAATTACAAACACAGCTACAACGCTGAGTCATATAGGGTAAATTTGCTGTATGTGTCAGCTCTAAATGAGGTCGGACAATCAGCAACTTGAAATGTGAGTTTTCAAAGCAATAAGAGGCAACTAAAAGAGTTAAGGTCAAACAGTGCCCAAAGTGTACGTAACAGGGTGGTTGCTAAATACTGCAAAAGAATGGCCTCAAAAATAACCACAGAACCTAATAGGCACCTCTATGACATAGTCAATGATAACTAGAATTTACGGTGAGGATGCTGCTCAAAAACAAATTGTATCCAAGGCCATTGCACAAAGATGAATAATGTGGGGTAAGGAGCACAAAACCTGGACCCCTGCGCAAGAGAAGAAAAGTCTGATGAGTCATATTTCATCCTACATGTGGATGAGTTTGCATTTAGAGAAAGCCAAGGGATGTCTTCATCCAACAATTCCTCTTGTACATGGTGAGTCATTAGCTTCAATGGTTTCCTTGGGTGATTGTATAATGGCCAAGCAGTGCAAGCCCATTTTACAGGACCTGGTGCACCCTACTGAGCAAACTCTGTCCCTTCATGATACTTCTTCAAATTCAAGAGTAGTTTCAGAAACACCAGGACAAATTCAAATACAGTTTTCCCAGTCACTAGATCTACACAACACTGACCTCGTAAATTCTGGAATGTCTTCAAGAATTTTATGACAACCAAAAATGACTGAAGCTGTAGGCAAAAGGTGGTCCTACTCGATCTGAGGTACTTGAGATTAATATATCGTTGAGTGATTCCGTTATATTGTCCACCCACTGATGACAAAAGGTACATTTACCTTCTCCAAGGCCTTGTTTCTCTCCTCACTTTTCTGTAGTAAAGTCTTGGTATGAGTGGTAGCTTTATCAAACACAGCCTTAGAAGGGACAATGAGGGAAGAGGAGGCAGGAAGATGAAGCTCAGAAAAAGTTAAAAGACCTCACTAGTTAAAGTAACTATTAATATTAAAAAGGAAAAGTCTGCTTGGCATTATAAAAATGATGAGCACTCACCCGACTCTGTAGTATCTTGAGGGCTTCATGTTTGCCCTCCAGGTGACGCTGAGTGGCCTCCAATTCACAACGCAAAATTTCTGTCTTCTGTTGTATAGAGTACATAAGAAATTTACAAATGAGAGGAGGCCATTCGGCCCATCAAGCTTGTTTTGAAGTAGTGAATCAAAGATGAATGAACCAAATTAAATGCCACCACACATGCATCATAATAACTTTCATGGATTGCTACCTTCTTTTATTACCTTTATTTGAATCACCTGCAGTTTGTTTATCAATTATATGATTTGTAAACTACAAATGTTTAACATCAATGCATCTTTGAAACTCCTGGTCAGGGCTGTTGATGTTTTAAAACCACAATCGTAATAGTAATCTAATTTGTTAGACATAACGGTGGCATTACCACATAGTATAATTATATATAATGTACTGTAAAAGGAAGATTTATTAAGGAGGATTTATTATAAATTTTGTTCCTTGTCACATTATAATGTCGTGCTAGCCGTTTATGAGTCTTTTATATTTATTTATTTGTCAGAAGTTCTTGCACAAAGTGACTAAAACCTACCAAAATAGAGGGCTATGGCTGTGTGCTCGTTATATTAAGAGATATTTGAGCTATCTTCTCACCTCTGTAACTTCCTGGAGTCGGGTCTTCAGCTCCTCATTGGAAGGATCACAAAGTGATCCTGGGGGAAAAAACAAACATACATGTAAGAGATACAATGTGCGAGCTTTGAATCAACATGCCCTGAATGTTCTCTGGCGTTCTCAAGTCAATAGTGTGTTTGCATAATTCTATCCAATCAGCACACTGCTTTGTTTAGTACATCACTGGGCATTACGGTATCTTCATGGGTAAATACAAGAACTCTAAGTGGTCAGGAAAAGAGCAGCTTTTCTTGACATTACCTTTCAGAAAGAAAACATGAGAGGTGTAAGTAATTCTGACTTTTTTTTTTAAATAATTACCCATCCTAACAGATGAGAACTACAAACAAAACATGAAAAACATTACACTTAAAAATCATAATGAAGTTACTGAAGATTTAATTAATTCAAGATTTAATAATACCTATGTGTTACATTGGATCACTAAGTAAAAACAGGTTTAAGAATTCTCCATTTCCTAAGGAACGGATTTGAAAAATAATTGCGGTAGCTCTCAAAGATATTCTTGTGGTCATGCTCAATATCATGATAAAAAACATGTGTATGACATTTTTCAAAAAGGCAAGAACATATTTGTTGCGTGCTAAGAATACTCTAGAAAATAGAAGAATATAAGGTTGCACCACAAATACTCAGTTCTAAAGAACTGGAAACAAAAATACAAATGTAGTTAACGGATTAAAATATCTTCGAAAACTTAATGCCATAATATGTAATGCCATAATCTGCTATAGCTGCTACATTATTTCACTTACATAATATTGACTGCTACTAGTAATAGTTTACAGTCCCTCAGCATTACCAGTAAGTCTCCTTAGAGAGCAGGACCGCTCAGCGTCCTCCTCCTGCTGCAGTGCTGCACAGGATGTCCAAGTGAAGGCCACAGTGCCACTGTCACCGGACCGATTCGATGGCACCGCTGGAGACTGCAGGTCCAGCGTATCTCGCCTGTCCTCCTTCCTGGCATACAGTGTCCCCGGCTTCATGCCCAGGCCGTCCCCAAGGTCCCCGCCCATCATGTCATCCTCGGATGGTCGTCTCGGGCTGTTCTTGGCCCATTCCGCCCCAGTCTCCATCGAACCTTTTGTTTCCAGTTTGCATGAAAAATAACAACGACAATGCCTGAGCCTCAGCACTACAACTGTGGTGGCACTGGTGCTGAAGCAGGTGTGAGGATGCGTACTTGCAGGATGCCAGTTCCTGTGGTTTACCCCTGAGCTGGAAAAATAAAATGGTGTTTGTAGTATGTCTTTATTTATTGAACGTATTTACATGAGACTATTTTATCAAAAGGCTGAATTTCATTAAAATATAGCTATCCTGTCGAATTGTATTGTTTGCTATTTGTATTCAAACGTAAAGGTCTTCGGTCATTGTAATATGACGTCACTGAAGCTTTATTTAAAGTGCTAGGTAATATATGGATTCCAGCCACATGCGGTGAGAAAATGAAGACAGACTAAAGTAATAGCTTTACCAATTTTCACAATTCTACAGTAGCTTAACTGAAAAACGCAATTAAAAGCAACTATCGGAACTTTAACCAAGTTTGAGTTGTAACATGATACAGCTACGTGGCATCAGGTGCAATATGCTTACCTTAAATGCTATCCAAACGCAACATATAGAATACATGTAAAATACTTTCTCCCTAAGAAATAAAGATGGTGTAACGGCGTTAATTCTTTAAGGATGCGAAAGACACACCTTCTGAAGTTTCACTAGTATACCGAGGACTGCTACTCACAGACGTGGCAACAAAACGCCTTGGGCGGCAGGAAAAGACGGGAGGAAAAAAAACATATAGGCGTAACCCAGAAATACCCACCATGTCCTCTTTTTTCGTACCATTTACTATATGTGAATATTGCCAAAGAAATTTACTAGCTAAACCGAACCTGTATAACAAGGTGAATTATGACCAAGTGGAGTGGAACAATATATTAGCTTTAAAATTTAAGTTTTATGATAACATTATATACGTTATGACCAAATCAAAAAAAAAAAACTTCTTAAAGTGAATCTTCGACAATATAGCTAGGTTTCGTTTAAAAATGCCCTTCCGTCGTCGCTTTCCTCGGGGGGTATATTCGTTTTCACAACCATTTCAGATGCAATGCATTATAATTTTATAGATACTAGTATTACTATGTAATTGTTGAAATTGTTACATGTTAATTTTGGTTGAGAAATATTTTCTTCTACTTCTGTGGCTATTTTGCGTTACTTTCATTATATTAAAGTACATTGTAAAAATGTATTGTCTTTGTAAACGTTCAACCTTATTCAGAGATTTAAGTTTCCCTAACGTTTCATGCTTTGTGAATGTGTTTCATAAGCTGCAAAATGACATTAAGGCATGTATATTCGTGTGTTCTTAAAACAAGAATATCTAATTAACTTTATGTTGGGGTTTGAAGCCAGTCTCTACTCTGTGTACTGTATACAAATAAGTTTACATATTATCCATGTATTGGTTAGGTTTCCTTCCTCAGTCCAATTACCTGAAGTTGGCTTCTACTAATTGGCATCTGTAACTTACCTACAGCAGTGTTTTCCAACCCAGGCCTTGGAGACCCCCAGATAGTTCATGTTTTTGCTCCCTGCAAGCTCCCAAAAATATGGACTGTCTGGGGGTCCCCGGTGGCTGGGGCCTATAGTGTTTGCTCTGTAGTAGAATGACGACCAATCAGGGCTGTGCCACATGCTGCCTGGGATTCAGTCCAGAATCAATGGCTAGAAGATGAAAGGATGTTTAATGGGATAGAACTTAAGAATTTTTGGTACTATAGTATACCCAACCGGTAAAAAAATGTCCAACATGGATCTTTTTTTAATTTTGTTTTTACTAGGTAGCAGGCAATTACAGAGACTCCTCTACTTACGAACGACATTTGTTCTGAACGGCCATTCGTAACTTGAAATGTTTATGTCGTTATTCAACACCATTTTAAGGGTACATGCAAGTACAAGCTACGGGCTTGGATGCTGGGAGTACGCACGCTATGCTGCTGCACGGCGGGGGTAGCGACCAGAAGACGTACTAGGCGGAATTGGCACACAGAAAAAACAATTGATGTTGTGGACAGGAAACAGGAGCCCAATGAACACAATTGGAACTTATGGTCCTCTTTTTTCGCATGTCTGAAAGTTTGTAAGTTGAAAGTTCGTAAGTAGAGGAGCGTCTGTATTCTGTTTTTTTGTATTCAACCTTCGTCTAAATAAATTGCCTCAGGTAAATTGGTGAGATTAATTTACAGACCTGTGGCATGTACTACAAAGCGGGGTTACTGGCTTATCAGGTTAACTTGTCGGATTTAAGGTACCACAGTTTAAACTGACTTCATATTCATTCATTTACATTTTGCCGAGACTACCTTAAATCCAACAATTTCCCCGATAAGCCAGTAACCCTGCTTCATAGTACAGGCCACAGAATGGGTAGCTTTAGTATATACAGTGGTGGAGGAAGTACTGAAGCTTAGTACTTAAGTAAAAGTACAAATATCCTGCGAAATATGTACTTAAGTAAAAGTACAAATGCTACATCAACAATCTTACTTAAGTGAAAGTACTAAGTACTTACTTTTAAATTTACATTAAAGTATTTTTTTTAAGTAAAAGTAGTCACACAATGGTTTGTCTCAAGGTCTGGGGTCTGCCATTTTGTAAAAGAATAGTAGATATACTGACTTATGCCTCTACCGATGTCATTGCTCATAATAATTACAAGCAACTATACAGTATATGTGTATTGGAAAGTTTGGTGGGCTTATTGTGCGTGCACTCTGCAATACTGTGTGTAACCTAACTTAGAATTATGTAGATGACAAGTTATCTACTAGGTATTACCCACTAATATACCATTAAGATAAAGCAATCAGGACATGATATATCTTTAAATCATTTATGTACTCGCAAAACTATTCAACACATCTGTTAAGAGCAGTAAAAGGGAAACACAACAGTAACCAAACACTAGTGGTGGTGTGGCGCCATGTTGAATGTCTCGTCTTCTTGAAATCAAGCCAGTCTACCAGCTCGTGCTGCCAATTGACGCGCACTCTGCCATCATTGGAGCTAAAAAAGCCACCTGATTGGTAGGAAATGGCAAACAACGCCAGAACACAATAGGCTAACTATTTTTTCATGCAAGATTTTGAGGAAATTGTGTTCATAAAATGTAACGACTAACGGCATAAATTGTAGAAATGTAGTGGAGTAGAAAGTACATATAATTGCTGCAAAATGTAATGGAGTAAAATAAAAAGTATGCATTATTATTTTTACTTACGTAAAAATGTACTTAAGTACAGTAACGAAGTACAAATACTTTATTACATTCCACCACTGAGTATATATATGTTGATAAAAAAGCATTTGAATAAATAATGTGGAATATGTTTTTACTGCATCTTTCATACCAGTCCTCTCTTTAGTCACAGACTAAATGTGCGTATCACTGGATGTTCCCAAGCTAGGCAGGAGATAGAGGTGGGCCTTTATTGGCCCTCTGAAAGAAATTACGGTGTTACAGCAGCTCATATTCTGGTGGTGAAACAGAAAAAGACATAGGAAAATGGGCAGGATAGTCATAAACATAGCTAACCAATACCCCTCTATATCCTACACTAGCTCATGCTCCTTCCTCTCCAGAGAGGTAACATCCTACTTTCCCACAGCCAGCATGCATTTCCTGGTATGTTCCATCTTTTCTGCTCATACTTGCTGCCTAAATGGCATCACGCCTAAACACAAAATAGCTCCATGTGGCCATTTTGGGCTGAACCCACTAGGGTTATGATGGTGAATACCACTTCAGAACTGGCTCCAGGGCTGGGTACTACTAACCCAGTTCCAAGTACAGTAGACTTTTTCTTTGTACCTTTCTTTGTAGTAGTTTATCTGGCTTCTCCGGATAGACTTGTTTGCCATGAGAAGCTCTACCAGGACTTCAGGCCACATGAAGAACACAAACTAAGAAGTAGTAAACATTTAATCCACATGTCCCAATGCACTGTTACATTTTTGCATTCACAATATGTTAAAGGAACAGTGTACTTCAAGCGGAAATATATTCAAATTTTATTATTATATTTTTTACTTTTAATAGTTATACCGTGAGAGCGTAAAATTAAATGGAATCTGTAAATATCAGCAAGGAACAATGGTCCTTGGTCTGCTGTATACATGCTAAAACCATAACTGCTTTACAAATATTGGTGGGTAATAGTGCTGTTAAAAATAAGGTTCAAAGAAACCACTGAAAACAGCTTTCGTTATAATTTTTCTCAAGAAATATAGAAAGGCTTGGCAGATCCATGGCTGCCGGGTAAAAGGTGCAGAACAATGAAACACCTTCAAGCTTCAGGTACAAAAGTATACCGTTTCGGCGACAGGAGGGTAAATAAATTGGGCCACGTGAAATCTCCAATTGACTTGCGATAATATCACGAAGTGTACATTTTTACTGCTAGAACAAAAGCACAGGCACACACACCCATATAAACAAACATCGGACAACTGAACAGGTGGAGCAAATTAAAGTTAACAGGGAGCGTCACCTGACCTGCTTAAAAACGAGCTATAAATACTGTTGTTGCTATTTTTTGCTTTCTCTTTATTACTGGTACAAGGGCATATTATTTCCAGAAAAAATATGAATATATAGAAAACAAAAGACAAAGAAAACAAAGTATCCACACCACATTAAGTACTTTAATCTTAGCTTTTTATATATGACAATTTCATTACTTAATTGTCCTGTGCCCTTTCTATTAAACAGAAATATCTTTAAAATGGACTTTTCGGAACGTGTTTCATAAATCATTTATATCCTGTAATGTTCAGTCATAAATCGTTTATATTCCCACCCTTACTGGCTTAAAATTGTATTCACATGGATAGCCTATTATATATTATTTTCAACAGGATGAACTGTTCATATACTGCAATAATATAATTATATTAATTTTCAGTCTTTTATAGAAAACGAAATGCATATTTTGTCTGTACATGGGTTTGAATATAGATGGCTTATTAAAAACTTTAAAGGCACGATATTGATGGATGCAAGATAATTGGTTTCCTTATAAGAATGCCTTATGCTGGTTTGAAAAAGCAAGACGTCTCATTCATTTATGCGTTTTCAAAAACGTTTTCAGCTATGTTAATTAGTCCGGTTATTTAAAACAAAATATAATAATTAAATGCGTTAAGGGCCAATTAATTCTGCATTATACCTGACTACGAGATAAGGAGCTTAGCTCAGTATTTTGACCGACAATATACTTCCCTTTAAAACGTGAGCAGCGTCTGAAACTCCCTTTAAGAGGACTGTCGCGTTATAATGACGTTTATTTACGACCCCATGTGAAAAAATTGGATTTTCATGGGATATGTGATATCGATTAGCTCTTTTATTAATACATTTTGTTTCATTTTTCCTTTATGAATGACTTAATTTAGCTGCTAACTAATTTTCAAATATCGAAAATTAATCTGGGCTGCAAGCAACATTTCTAGTCTATATCAGACATTTCGTATTTTGTCCATTGCCGTTACACGTGGAGTAATGAAAATCATGAAGCGACCGAATATTCTTCTAACAGGTTAAAGTCTTGTCTAGATTTAAATATGACTCTGTTAAATATAATTTTACGTCCTAATAGATTTTGTTTGTGGCAACGGCTTTGGTTCACCTCAGTTCTTTTTATTTCCTCCTTCATCTGCGATTTTTTTTTTGTGTTGCGTGTAAAATATATTTGTGCACAGAACATTTTATACTCTTTGTACTGTGTAGTATTGTATGTATGGAAGCCTATACGTGTGCGTTGCATTGGCATAACAAGAGTTATTGACTACCTTGTTCTTGTGATTTGTGATAATCCTTTTTCATTAAGAACTAAAGATATTTGATATACGACGGTTAAGCGTGAATCCGAAAAAAATCTACGTAATTGAAAGTGCCGTGAATTACTTATTTTAAGTTTTAAGGGGGGAAAAGGAACATAGTTCCTAAAAAGCTTGCTGGGTCAGTGGGTTTGACATTATATTGATTAATTGAGCAGCCATTCAAAATGCGAACCAACTGTATAATTAATAAACCATGTTGTCGACAGGAACCCCCGGAGTAGGAAAAACCACACTAGGGAAGGAACTAGCACAGAGAACGGGGCTGACGTATATCAACGTGGGTGATCTAGCACAGGAAGGTAAAATCATCTAGGCAAACGATAAGTGGTAGTTGAAATATTGTGGTATGTGTTTCAGTTTATTTCAATTCAGTGGTTACTTGTAACCTTGAGTTTTGTTTTTTTTTTTTTTTTTTTTACACATTATCGCTTGTGTTTTTAAGTTAAGGTGTGTATTTGGAATATGTTGTTAATTCTAATAATGTGACCGTTTCCTTTCCTTAGGAGAATTATATGATGGTTTTGATGATGAATACCAGTGTCCTGTGTTAGATGAGGATAGGGTGAGTTTGAAGCTCATCTCCTTATTCAAGAATGAATCACCAAAATATGCTTATTGTTTAATTATGGAAAACCCCTGTATACCAGTTGTGGCTTTTCCCACCTGCTGTAGGTGGTTGATGAGCTGGAGGACAGGATGAATGAAGGTGGGGTGATTGTGGACTACCATGGCTGTGATTTCTTCCCCGAGCGGTGGTTCCATATAGTATTTGTACTGCGCACAGACAACTCTCAACTGTACACCCGCCTAGAGAGCAGGTTATCTATCTGTCTGTCTGTCTAACTCTACTCATTGATGATTTGATTATCTGTCAGTTCATCCATATTAAACCCCACCAATACCATTTAGAAGATGAAAAACCATGCTTTGGATTTAAAATTGGATTTAATATTGGATCTGCAACGTTATGCTTTATGCTTCAGTTCAGTACCTTGTGTAGTGCAGTTTGTTGGATTTCTGTCTTGCAGGGGTTACTCGGGGAAGAAGCTTCAGGACAACATCCAGTGTGAGATCTTCCAGACCATTTATGAGGAAGCCATGGAGGCTTATAGACAAGAGATTGTCCACCAGCTGCCTAGCAACAAGCCAGAAGACCTTGAAAACAATCTAGAACAGATTGTTCAGTGGATAGACCAATGGATAAAGGATAACAACTGAAGGCCTTTGCATGTGCACAGTAGCTTATTACATTCCCTCAGCTGGGAATGCATAGTTAAGTTTAAATATTAAATATTATCAATTATGAAATATGTCATGGATGCATGGAGAAAATGTCAGTTTTCTCATTCTGAACATGAACACCATTATGTGCTATACTTATCAGTGGAATGTTTGATCCACTTTACATGATAGCTCAAATTCAAAAAATGCTTCACTTTCTGCTACTTCCATGTATACTCTGAAGCCAGTATTTCCATTGGGTGACTGGCAGAGAAATAAATAATGAATTTGCCGTCATGCTGTAAACCAGAGATAACAGCAGTTTAGTACCAAAGGAGTGCAGTTCAAGTAACGTACTGAGTGTTTTACAATCAGCTTCTCAAACATTTACTGTTATGAGGTGTTGGTACTACAGGGTGATAATTAAACTAGGAGGCAGTTGACTTAATTGGCACAGATAATGGCAGCCTGGAGACAGATGGACAGTTTAGGCCCAAAATCAGTATTTCCCCTAATAATTTATATACAAAGTGTTGAAATATGGTCTGGTTTTATTCATTTATTTTTTCGTCATTGGATTATATGTGCCAACAAGAGGACTTAGTTTGTGAAATACTTAAATTCTCCACAAATTGGCTTAAGATGGTATTCACCTGAATATTATATATATATATATATATATATATATATATATATATATATATATATATATATATATATATATATATATAATTTGCATTTAAATAAACAACAGGGCGAACTGTTCTTATACTGCAATATAATTATGTTCATTTTCAGTCTTTTATAGAAAATGAAATGCATATTTTGTCTGTACATGGGTTTGAATATAGATGGCTTATTAAAAACTTTAAAGGCACAATATTGATGGATGCAAGATAATTGGTTTCCTTATAAGAATGCCTTATGCTGCTTTGAAAAAGCAAAAAGTCTGATTCATCTATGGCTTTTACAAATACATCACTGATTGCAAATTAAACGTTTGCTATATCTTGTGATCTGGGGGTTGTTTTGTTGACCAGTTGATTCAAGTGACAGCAGTGTTAAAAGTATTACATAGGAAGGTGTTTCAAGGGGTGGAACCCATGTATGCAATGTGGAGCGTCTTGGGAACACTGCACATTTGCTGGGACTCGCAGGTATCAATGTAAGTTCTGCAAAAGTGACCTCTACCGGTGATCATGAAGAAGTGTTTTTAGTTATAATTATTTCGATTTTTCACATCTAAACGCAAGTAAAACGTTAATAATAACATCTTAGCATGTCTGAATATTTGGTTTTCATATACATCATTTAATTTGATATAAATTAAATTAAAGGTTCTGTTTCTTTGTTAATATGTCTGTTTCCTGTTGAAGTCCTCAGTAAACCAGTGCAATTCCTAAATACTATCCTACTTGTCCCCATTATAAAACTTATATTTTGTCAGCCCCCCCCCCAAGCAAAATTTTCTGCAATCGCCACCCGTGTATAAGAAGGCGTTGCTTGAACCCGAAACGCTGTTGTCGCGCGGTTCCGCTTCTCCGCTGCAGCGCGTTTCCATCGGTGTGACGTTACTCGGGGCGGTGTCACGTGGTCAGGAATCCTCTTTTGCGGAGGTGCTATGAGGAAGACAGGTTGGTTTGTGGCAACAGGTACAGCCAAAAATAAAAATTCTCTTGCATTATTATCATCGCCAAAACAATAACATTTTCCAGCCTTAGGTAAGTTTTAATACGTTTTCTTGTCTTCATTCAGTCTTAATTGTTAATTTCAGCGAAATGTGTAAACTAATTCTCTAAGCACCTTTTGTTACGCAGTGTTTACGTACCTTAACGGGCTTTTGTAATACTTATGTTTATTCAGATGTATAATGCTGAAATTTTGACTTTGAGTACATAACTGTGTTAAATTGTACTGGAAAAAAGTACTGTAAAGGAAAAGTTCTCGTTGTAAAAAACGTCTAGTTTTGGAATTATGTAATAACAATAGATCTGGATCTGGGGCAGATATGTCTTTGTTTTTGTTTTTATTCAGTCGTCGATATTACGAAACATGGGTGTGATCCGCTTGTTAATAATAATTAATTTTATACAGCTTTTCCCGGAGGGAAGTTGAGGGACTGTTAGGGAACACAGCCAGGCATTAGTAACCACGGCTTATATAGAACATTAGATAAAGCAAAGTATTTAGCTTGATAACGGGAAAAATATTGTTGTTATTCACTATAACCTTTTCACCGTTTACACCTCTGTTATTGATGACACTATATGTTTTATTTCCTAATTTTCTTGCTATTCACATTTTTCTCTCTCCAATTGAAAGGTTGAAAGCAATCCTCATGTCTGCCGGTAGTGGATCATCTGCCCACTTTGACCGCATCAGAGAAGTTAGACCCTTCATTGGGGAACCTGGTGCCCTGTTTTGCAGAGCTGGTCCTCAGTCTCTAGAAGAGGCGAGAGGGGCTGGGCAGGGACGTGGGACGCCTCCACTTCCTCTGGCACCCTCTCCAGTACACTTACCACTGGCCGCTGAATTTTACCCCAGTGACAGTGATGACAGCCTTGATGCCACAAATGTCAGACCTCTTAAGTCTCTCATTCCTAGTTCCGTGAAAGACTTATTCCGGGGCAGTAAGGGATCTCTTTCTGAGCCAAAAAACAATTCCAGAACCAACTTATCTATCCCTGGGTCAAACCAAGGTCAGCACGGTGTGTCAGGTGGAAGTTGCACTTCTCAAGAGAAAAAAGAAGGCAGTATGGACCCAATCAGCACCTTCGATGACCATACAGTACACACAGGCTTGACGTATGAGGAGAGACTGGCACAGTATCGACAAATCCACGGCTACATGAGAACCTGGGCTGGCTTGCTCCGTATCCTGGGCTCCATAGAGCTGCTGCTTGGGGCTGCGGTCTTCGCCTGTGTGTGTGCATACATATACAAAGATAACGAGTGGTACAACATGTTTGGATACTCGCAGTCTTACAGTGGATACTCAGGCATGGGGATGCCTGGCGGGGGCATGGGTAGCATTTCGGGCATGAGTGGTGGCGGTATGAGCGGGGTCTACTACACGGGGCCCCAGACTCCGTTTGTGCTGGTGGTGGCAGGTCTAGCTTGGCTGGTGACGGTGATCTTGCTGGTGCTGGGCATGACCATGTACTACCGCACCGTACTTCTGGACTCAAACTTCTGGCCGCTCACCGAGTTCTTCATCAACCTGGTTCTTGCTGTGCTCTACCTGGCTGCGGCTATCGTGTACGTGAGGGACACGCTCCGAGGCGGTCTGTGTTATTACCCCTATTTTAATAACGGCATGACCGGAGGCTTCTGCCGCACCGAAGCGGGCCAGACTGCTGGCATCATCTTTCTCTTTCTAAACACGCTGGTCTATTTGGTCAGCGCCATCGTGTGCATTAAGCTACAGAGACATGAGGCAGCCCGAATGCGCCGTGAATACTACCAACGGGAGGTGAGTTTGAGATTTTAGTGAGCGGCAATAATTAAATGACTTTCTTCTGAGTGGCAATATCTGGGATCTGTCACTGACAGCAGATTATAATGACTTTCAGATTATAATGTTGACCACTTATAATCTGAATTATTGTGTTGTTAAATAGACTGGGAGTGAAATTAATGAAAAAGTTCTGGTTTTGAGATGGCTTCAATTGTTATTCTTTTTGACCAATTTATTGCCTAGGCGAAAGCCATTAAAAGTTGCTATATCTTTAAAAAATTTAATTTAACGTTAATGTAGAGGCACTGATTTTATTCCTATTTCATTTCTAGTCTGTTGCCTGTGCTTATGTTTTCATATATGTTGTCATTTTACAGGTCATTCATCACCTCTCACAGCTTGCATATGAGTGGTTCTCTCTCTCTTTCTGTGTTTTAACTTTTGTTTTTTCCCCAGGTGGCTGCATATTCTGGCCCAAGATCACTGGTAAATGTTCTACAAAATTTTTCAGTCTGTAGTTTTAAAAACGTAATGTAATAATATTATAACAGAAGTGAAATCTTAAAATTGACTTATAATTAATGGATTTTTAAATAATGCATACATCGACCCTTATATAATTTTATCGGTATTAAAAGTCGGACGTTTGGTGGATCTTTGGTATTTGCAAATCTTTTTTTCCTGCATATGCAAAGTGATATTCCCTATTTTTTTTTAGAAACCGATTTTGCTTGACTCAAGAGCTCCAACACAGATTAAAGCCACAAGAATGGAGCCGCAGGTGAAAGCTGGCCACGCCCCCTCTTTGCCCCCCCCGAAACCTGTGATCCTGCCAGACTACGTTGAGTGAGTCCACTAACCACACCTGATATAATGTACATCAGACTGCTGGAAAGCTTTAAGATCTTGCATGCCAACCCAGTTTTACTGCACTTATGAGAAAACATCAGAATCTCCCACAGAAAACAGCTCCTGAAACCCAAATACCAACGTGTGTGCTTTGCACCCCTATCTCATCAGTTCCCCTGGTTTCTCAGTATGTTAATTGGTATTAATTGTTTTTTACAGTCTGGTTCTAGAATATATTAACGGGGAACGGGGGTGTAATTCCCCTTTCACATCATCTCTGCGCCACGCTGTGACGACATGGTGCTTATCATCTACAACAAAGTGAAATTCCTTGAAGGGCCCCAAGAAAGCAAACGAATAAATAAAAATAATAACAACAACATAATAACATAACAGATCCTATACATTGGCTTTCTGCAAACAGCCACTGGTTTAAAACAGGAACAAAGGAATTTTAAAGATATTTTAGGGGACTGGGCATTATAAGGTTACTACACAACATATAGAGTGTCCCCAGCTAAATTGTACAGGCTGCCTATATCTGGGGTAGTTTTATGCACACGGGTATTTAACATCACGACAGCATGTGTGTCATTACTGCCTTCTGATGTTATAAACCTCATAAATTTATCAGAAGTTTTATCTCATTGTTTTACTGATACCTGCCTTTTATGTAATGGGATTTTGACACAAGATTTTTACCTGCTTGTAGGAAGTATCCCAGCATCCGCACTGATGTTGAGCGAGATCGCTACAAGGCCGTCTTCAGAGACCAGCATGCAGAGTACAAGGAGTTGAATGCAGAGGTGCAAGCTGTGCTGAAGAGGTTCAACGAGATGGATCGTGTGATGCGTAATCTGCATCTGCAAACTTCCAGCCAAACGGTCAGGAATGATCCCCGTTATATGAATCTCCTTAAAACTCTTTATAAAGTGCACAGTCAAAGTCATTGTTGCAATGATTACCACACACAAATGCGGTTGGAGCAAACTGGAAAATGGCATTGCTGTAGTGATACTACATTAACAAAGGGAAATTAAACATTTTGTTAAATACAGTTGTGTATTTAACCCATGTATCCATGGGTTCTGCATCCATGGATTCAATCAACCATGGAAAATATTTGGAAAAAATCAACACAAATTCCAGAAAGTTCCAAAATGCAAAACTTGAATTTTCCACATTCCGAGCACAGCTCTGAGTCCATGCAGATGAAGTCTGGTGCATGCAGACCCTGCTAATGCCTCCGCAATCTGTAAGTTTTAAATAAAAGAAAATGTGACATTGTTGCTGACATGTACTACCTAGTTAAGCCTACAGTGATTGCATCTGTACTGAAAATGTACACATTTTTTTTCTTGTCATTATTTCCTCAATAATACATTATAACAACGATTTACATAGCATTTACATTGTATTGGGCATTTTAAATAATCTAGAGATGATATCAAGTATACAGGAGGATGTGCATAGATTATATGTAAATACTATGCTGTTTTGTACGCGGGAGCATCCAGGAATGCATCCTGGAACTGATCCCTCACGAATACTGAGAACTGACGTATGCATCTTCCACACCACGCGTCCAATACAGGGATGCAAAGTGGTCTGAGGAATATACCCCACAAAACTGAGCCAACTTGTATTTCATCGTTTTAATACCTTCCTATTTTACACAACTCAAAATAGACACATGATCATGTTATTCAGTGAAGTATTTATTGACATAAATTATAAATAATGGATAAATCTCAATCACACAACAATATTCACACACAAACTTTTTCGATAGAAGCACTGATTACTGTATGGGGCTCTTCGTCATCCAGAAGTTTGTAAAATGAACTCTGATTTTTTTTCTGTTTATACAGCTGGGTATTTTACTGGTGCAATTTATAAAATATCACCTAAGGCACTGTATAGAGTTTTTTTGTTAAAAGTAAGGTGTGTCCTCCCCACTACATTTTTACTTAGCCCAATTAGCTCTGAGGCTAGGGATCTGCGCCAGCAATCGGAAGGTTGCGGGTTTGAATCCTGTGAATGCTAGGAGAGATCCTACTCTTTTGGGCCCTTGAGCAAGGCCCTTAACCTGTGATTGCTTCATCCTGGGTATGGCATTAATCTACATCCAGCCCTATAAGGAGGTCCTCTTACATTCAGGGAAAAATTTGGGGGTTGGCACTCCAGCTATCAGAAAAAAGTCACACTGATCCATTCGGACTAGTGTGGTGCTGAGGTATCACCTGCCACATGGTTCATCGTGTGGTGGGTGCAGCAATCCTTACCAATTTTCAATGTATTGTGAAACTATAATAATAAATTGTATAAAACAGCGGAATGAATGGTTGATGTATATGTGATATCCTGCATTATACAGCTCTTAAGTTTAAATTCCTGATTTGATGTTGAGTGAAATGAATGAATTCATTTTTTTCCCAAACAGGAGCAAGAGCGTTTACAGAGGATCCTGCAGGAATATGAAAGAAAGAAAACTGTGAGTGCAAATAACTTGTATTATTGTATTTCTGACATATTCTTTTCTTAAATAGACAAAACAGAATTTTTCTCTGAAACAAAAAGAAATTACTATATACACATGTACTGTTGCTTTACTCAGCCAGTGTTAAACACCAGTTCATTTACCTATGACAGATACTTTCTTTTCGTCATTAGTACATGGTACAATTTTGAAATGGCAAAAATAGCAAGCAAAAGAAAAACAGAATAGAAATGACAAATGGTTAACAGCACAAATCTTTTCATAACTAAATTTTGCATTAATTTTGCTTGGTTACCACCCACATGAGATTTTATGTAATGTAGTCAGGTAACTGAATTATTTTCTCATTCTCCATATAAAGCTGATTTCGCGTTAAAGGCAAAATGTTTAGCGTAATTGGATAAGTTGCTGATTTTTTTTTGTAAATTTCTGTAGATTTACAGTACTATACTACTGTAATTTTATCTCACATCAACTCTGTCCATTAATTGTAGCTTGTTGCAAAAAAACATACACTCATGTGGCTGTTTTATTAGTTACACCTGGGGGGTGTTACATGAAGCAGGGTTAAGGGAAAGTCTGACTTATTTCGACGAGTCTGGCTCATTTAAGTGGGAGTTCTGTTTTCATTAACGTCTCTTAAATGAATCCCCGCTGAGCTACCATGGTAACTTAGGCGAGCGAACAAGTCTGATCCGGACCAGGTTAACTGTCTTGCTTAGTTAAGCGTTGTCTCAAAGAATGCCCGACGTGTAGTAACCAATTCCCAAAAGATCATTCCTTTGGATGAAATTCCGCGCTCTCATTACTCATGTCATGTAATAAATATAATAAAGCCTATAAAAATCACGTCTCGGCATTCCAATTAATTGCAAAATAATTAAAATAAAATCGTACCCATATTACAAAGCTCATACATGAAATGCAATGACTGAAATTGGAAAAAAAAAATCTGTTAAAACAATATGAACAGGAAGGTATTTTTATATTTTGTTTAGTCACAGTCTACTTTGAAAGATATTAATAAAAAGCAAAGACAAGATACAGTTATTTGTGCAGGACATTTCACAGGGATGCGATTGAAAGTATTTTACGGAGATCAAATAGTACAGAATAACATTATGCAGTAAGAATGACACGTGAACTCAACCCAGATGGTTCCTCGTTGGCTGTGGGGATCGAATTAGCAACTTTCGCGTTATAAGGCGATAGCATAAACCACTGCAGCACCGTGCCACTGTACTATGCACTTATAACATTTACATAACTTACACATTTAGTCTGTCTGCAATTCATTGCCAAGCCAACTCCCTGGCTGTGTTTATGGCCACAGTATTGCCTTTTTTAATGATTACATCTTTGTATTTTTCATACAGCTCCATCAGCAGCGTTTGTTCAGCGGAAAATAAAACACCGCTCTCGTTTTTCACGCTTTCCTACTCATTTGATCGATCAATCATTCATGCATTCATTTGGGCTTCTTAAATATCTTGGGTGTGCACACTAAGTGAGACTATGAAAGTCTGTCTTGTATGAGCCTTGATTAGTTAAAGCTGAACTGCGTTAGTGGAACGACATGGGGCTAAGTTTAGAGATAGTGCTAGTTTGGGTCTGACATTTTCAGGAAAGTCTGGCTTTCTTTAGCTACTTTCATGGAATACCCCCCTGCTCATTAATGCAACTAGACTAGTTCACCAAACAGCAAATCATATGGTCACTGAATAAATTGACCATGTAGACTAATGGCTAAGACACATGATCTAAGCGATTTTGTATTTGGTGTGATTGCTGGTGTCAGACGTGGTTGTTCCAACACCTTAGAAACAACCACCCACTTGGCATTCACATACTGGTGTGTAGACTTTAGAGGATGGCGTTATGTACAAGAAAACGTCTAGTCAATGGCAAATATGGATCCTGAGTAGAAAACCACATAAAGTGGCCACTGAGTGCATTTTCTGTAATCCTGGTGGTAGTGTTGCCAATTTAAACTATAATACAGACACTGAATATGTTCAATCTTTGACAGGACCCCGCCTTTCTTGAGAAGAAGGAACGTTGTACATACCTAAAAGCCAAACTATCCCACATCAAGCAGAAGATCCAAGAGTACGATAACGTTACAAATTGGAAAGATGGATACAAGTAAATGTTTATAACCTGTTGCTTGTGGTTTTATGTTTTTCAAGAGCTAATGTACGAATTAGTCATTTTATTTACTTATATTTAAAATGGAAGACAAGACACCATCCACAGCAAAACGGAAATGGAAGGAATGCAGTTTGTTTGAATAACAAAAGGAACATTTAAAAACAAACTTCATCCTTCACCAAAAAAAAAGACTGGCTTAGTTTGCAAACGATTTTAAATTCCTTTTTGCCATGTTTATTTTATTTTTTTTCAGGTAGCATTTTTCATTTATGCAGCCAGATTTTGTACGAGGCCCTGATACTGAGTAGGCCCTTGTTTTCAAGAGGGACGCTGAATAAGCAAAATGATGCACTTCAATGCAATACACCTCAGTGCAAAAGGTCAAAAGGTGTTCGTTACTGCCCTTCAAATTAAGGGTTCCAAATGGAGTTTGACTGTTATTTTCTGCATTTATGATTTGTCCTGTATTTTTTTCTGCTCAGTAGACTATATATACACACACACACACACACATGCAAAATGTTGCGTTGCATTATATTCCGTTGCATTTCTTTCATCTGCTTTTAGCTTTGTGTTGTTTTATTTAGTTTTGTTGCGTTTTAAGCCCTTAAAGTTTTTATAAATATGTAAAGCTAACACTTTTCACATTTATTAATGTATATTTGAGATGCGGTCCTTTTTTGCACAGAGTACAATGTTACTATTTTTTTTCTTAAAGACAAATTATTAAACATAAAGTCTTACTCTTTTCTGCTTTTTTTGGCAAATGGATGTGCACCCGTGTCCAAAACAAAAGCTTGCCAATGTGACTAACTGTAGAGAAACCCGGCTGAAGTACGTGCATTAGTCTGTTGGCGTTTTACTTTTACTTAGTCAAGGGCGTACAAAGATTTAACTTTATTTATTTAACTGTTCATATGTCTTGTCAATAAGCTTCGTCAGCTGCCGTGAAATTTTCAATTCCAGATAATTCTTCGCACGCATTTCCATGTAACAGTTTTATTACCTTGTAAACAGTCTATAGAGTTTACAAACTATCCCAACGCTTTAATGTAGCTAATTTCATGAATAAAATAATGGAATAATATAGTGTAGATTTGCCGTGAGTGTCTGAAATCGTGAGAGTTGGCAGCCCTGAGCCGGTGTGTTTGCCTGTATGCATACGGAAAGTTACGAATATGGGGGAGACCCGGCCCAGGGTGTCTGATCGGGTTAACATGTAGGAGGTTAGCCGGCGAGTTTCTCACGCTCGCTCTGCACGGAGAAACGCGCAAATGAAGTGTGATCGCGACAAGCTGGGAGTCTGATCGGAGAAGTGAGTGAGCATTTGCAGAGGGGGGGCACAACTAAAAGCTTGGTATTAATAATAATAATAATAATAATAATTTAACCTTTATTGTCCCTCATGGGGAAATTCTTTTTAGGCCTCCATCAACTTGCTCTTTGTAGAACAAGCTGTCTGCGAAGGGCAGCCACCTGTTGGTTGTTAATTACTGCAAGTTTCTCAAACGATGGATGTTAGAAAAATACCAGATGGTACTGGAATAGACTGCTTGAACAGTACAATATGTGATTTATTTTCTTCTTGAAATGTCAGTAATAAATTTTGTCGGGACAGTAAGACTTGAAATGTAGCGTCATTTATCAAAGTTCCCTCTGAATGAAGACACAATAGGCTGGTCTTGGGCACAAAACTCTTGAGATTAAATTAAATTAGTCCCACTCCTTGCCTGATAACCTAGATCATCTCCTATATAAAATACAGGATGATTTTCACGGCTTATTTTTAATTATGTCCTCTCCAATTAAGGATGTGCGGACCGATACAAAAATATCGATTCTGTCGCTCTGAATGTTTCATTTTGGGAATCGTTTGTAACGTTAAAATATTAGATTGATTTTGTACCTGATAAATGGCTATATTATTGTGAGCAAGACATGAACTACTTCCAGGCAGAAGGGAGAAAGGGGAAGACTTTCAGAGGCCTCTCTCCTATTGTCTAAATGATTAGGGAAATAGCCATAACACGTACGTCATCACCCCCCAGTCACCAGCGCAGGTATCGGTGATACCAGCTTTGCAATTAGATCAAATCGGACTGAACAGAATGTCAGTGGTATGGCGCAGTCCTACTCTGTGCAGCAAGACTGCGCACAGGTTTCGGTCAATCCCTGAGCTCACCTGACTCACCTCTACATATTCAAAAGAATATATCTTCTTAAATCACATCTCAAATGTTGGTCACCGTAAATTTGGAACAAATGGCTTTAAGATGAATTAGACTGAAAGCCAATGTACACCGCACACACAGACCTACCCTGAGCTTCGTTATCTCAGTAGAGAGAATTTAAGTCATGATACTATTTACTGCTGCTTTCTAGTATGTATACCACGAAAAAGAATCAAAGAACAGGAAAAACCAGTTTAACTTTTGCATAGGATACGTCTTCTTGGAAAAGAAAAACTTGTAGGTTAACATTGCTTGTATAAGAGTTTCATTAGTCGCCAATACGGAAGTAGCAGCCCTCCGGGCGGAGCCGCACAGCCTGGGCGGTGGAGTGAGATGTTTAAGCTGCTCCCTATTACACTGATAGCTGCATTTCAGTCAGCCCTGCGGTACTTTTATTGTCAGGTAAGTTTTTTTTTAAACTAATCAAATTGAAACCCTTTTCCACAGTACATGTAAAACACCGTTAAAAGAAGTTTAGATCATAAGCATACTTGGAGGAATTGTAAAGCCAGCACCGTTTATTTTTATTTTGCGTTGCATAATATATAACAAATGATATTAAATCTCTCGTTTGTTTACCTTATGTTTTTATGGTAGTGAGTGCCTGAATTTCATTGGTAACACTTCACTTGACTAGTCAGAAATAATTAGTAATGACTCAGTGAATAAAGTACATATTATGAACAAATATAGTCTGCTTGATATAAAGATCGATGCGTCCCGATGTATTGATGAACAAACGAGATCAGCATTTCACTTGTAATTCATGATTTGATCCTACAGTAGTTCCTTCAGTAATTCACATAAAGGTTTACAGAAGTAACAAATATAGTAAAAAATACTGAACTGTTTGAGATAAAACGTGTCACAATTCATTAATGATGAATTAAGATGAGACCAGTATGTAACTAAAACTTAGTTTGTGCTTAAGTAATAATATAGTATTATACTATTACTTATGTATTTGTGCCCCGTCAAGTAAAGTGTTATCATTTTATTAATAATGGTGGTGGGATGAGTGATTTTTCTCCAAAACATACCTTTTCCATAAAAGTATTTCCTTTAATAATACTTTAATAATAGTAATCCAATAAGCAATTAAAACAGCAGTTTTAATTAAATTATTTTAAACTACTGATTTACTCACAAACACATGTGAATAATGCTTTTGGTATTTTTGGTGTGACTATTTACATTCCATTGTTTGTGTATTAAATAGAACTGTTACCTTTTGTAAAATAAGTCAAAAAGTGTGAAGAAAGTAAGGACTCCAGGATGTCTTCATACAGGAATGGACACCCTCCACCCTATCGCTATGGCGGCAGGCAGTGAGTCTATATATTGGGTTTATATTTTTCCCTTATTTTTTTATGGCTGAAATGCAGTACTGCATAATACACACAAATCTGGACATTTTGAGTATAAATGCAAGATAGTGTTGGAACTTAATTTTTATTGTCTGTTTACCAGAGTTGGAAAATTCAGGTCCAGAAAGTACAAATGCAGACCAAGGTTTTGTTTCAACCAATCAGTTGAGTATAAAGAGTCACAGAGTACCCACCTGCTTGGTTGAAACAAACCCTTGGTCTGGATTTGTATTTTTTGGACCTGAACTTTCCACTTCAGTTACTTACTGATGCGCTTTTTCTGTTTTATAGCCATAGCAGCCGAGACATGTCTGGAGACCGAGTGTTGAGCAAGCCATCTTTTTCCCACTACCCTGAGGAAGAGTTTTTGCACTTTTACCGCTGGACCTCTCCACCGGGAGTGATAAAGATTGTGTCAATAATAATCATTATTCTCATCGTGGCCATGTTTGCTTGTGTAGCCTCCACAGTAGGCTGGGACTCAGATCTGGAAATGTCAGGATATGGTGGAATTGGGGCAGGGATGGGTGGAGGCATGTATGGGGGAAGTTATGGGAGTAACTACGGAGGAGGTTATGGAGGAGGCTACGGAGGAGGTTACGGAGGAGGCTATGGATATGGAGTCGGAGGCAACTATGTTAGTCCCCAATCAGCAAATGGATTTATTCTTGCCATGGGAGCCTTCACCTTCCTCGCTGTGCTCATCATCTTCATCATTATGGTGTCAAGGCAGAAAGTGGCCCGCTCACGTCGGTTTTACCTGGCGGTCATTATAATCAGTGCCATATTGGCCTTCCTCTTGGTCATAGCCACTATTGTCTACCTTGTGGCTATCAACCCAACTGCCCAGGCGTCAGGGTCAGTCTATTACAGCCAGGTTATAAGTCTCTGTTCTCAGTACCAGAACTCACAGCCCTCTGGAATCTTCATCAATCAATATATGTACCACTACTGTGTGGTGGAACCGCAGGAGGTGAGAACATGTACCATGTGTGCAAATTATGTATTTTCTAATAAAACCTTGTTCCATACTACTTAGATCCAAAATTATCTTGGGTTGAGCATTTTTCTGTTTTGAATATGCCCATTTTTTTTTTTTTTTTGCAAGCACAATCAAGTACAAAAAAAGAAGAGGAGAACCCAACCCACCCCAGGTGTCGCCTTGAAAGAAAAAAAAAAACATTTAAAGAATTGGTCTCTGCAAATATAAACAAACAGGGGAACATGCCCGTTTTTTAATACCTGTAGATCATCTAAAATTTGAGAGCCGTATAGTGTTTTTTTTTTTTTCTTTTATCGTTAAATGCTTTCGACTAGCCAATAAATTTGTTTTGTTTTTGGACAGTGCAGATCTTCAAAAGTAGGACATGCTTATATCCTCTGGTTTTCTTTGGTCCTAGGCCATTGCTGTGGTGCTTGGTTTCCTGGTGACCGTTGGCCTTGTCATCATTGCAATCTTCGCTGCAAGGACACGTCAGAAAATCTGGAGTTATGGGAGGAATATTCTCTGGCATGAAGTGAAGGTGGTCAGTAATGGACTTTCACGTGACCTTGGAGAATGGGTGAGTGCATGAGATTTTATCATTAGATTTATTTGAGACCTCTTTGTTTATGGTCTGGCAGCAGATATTTTGATTGCTGCTAGTTGATGCTGTTGTTTATTTCAAAGTGAAAATGTTAAATATCTGAAATGTGAACCCCAACACGTGTACTAAAAGTTTTTTACGGTGCTCACAGAAAGTCTTGGGACACTTGTTTAATTCTGTAAAAATGTTGCAGATTTATTGATTTCATAGCAGAAGTTCTTTGACAAGCAATGTTTAACATATCTGCACATATCTGACAATTTTTTTGACTGCCATTATACTATTAATTGCAACTGTAGTTATTTTGTGATAATAAACACAAATGTTTGGTGTTTTATGTTATTGCAAAGGTGTTATTAATTAAAAAACATCCAAGGCGACTGCTTGTCAACTCAGAATAGCTCTTTTAGAACTATAATTTGGATTTCATTTTATTACTATTTGAAATTAATGTTTTACTTAAAACTACTGGTCGTTTTTTAATATGATGTACATTTTTTGTAGATAAACGAATAAAGTAATAATTTTCGTTAAGACCAATACATTTCTAATATTTTTATTGTCCCAAGACTTTCTACTAATTTTATATTCTATATGCCAGTATACAATATGCTAATTTAGCAGATGCTTTATTCATAGTACAATGAGTAGATGTGTAGCATACGTACTTGCAATAATCAGCATTTGTGGAGAAAATAGTGCACAGATGCTTTGGTCCATCCATCTCTGTGGAACCTGCAATCCTTTCCATGCAGCACAGGGCACAAGGTAGCGGTGACACCCAAGGGTGTTCCTCAATACCAAGAATGAGAAGATCATGCTTGTGGTCTTTGCAAGATCGGTCTTGCTAACTTGCTTCCAAAGAACAAATTTGGGGTGCAGCGAATCGTGGGATTGGTCTCATTTGGCAAGGATGCAACCGATGTTTTCTTGATATTTGGTGTGGGGCAAGAACAACATCCAGGGATTTTTACTGTCCTCTGTACCTATGTTCTTGAGTATTGAAACTGGTCTTCGGCAATGGAAGATGACATAAAATGGGTACATGAGAACACAATTATGGTCAAGTACGAGTATTGAGAAACACCCCTAGACAGCAAGCCAGTTCATCACAGGTCACTTACATGTGTGCACTACAGGCAACTTAGAGAAGCCAATAAGCGTAAATTCATGTATTTAAACCCTGGGAGAATCTGTACTCAACATGGATGTGCGAGTCAACACTAAAAACAACTGAGCTACTCTAGATACTTTCACGTAATTTACGAAACAAAACTTGCATAACAGCATGTATAACATTCCTATGTTTAAGTATCAGAACCAGCCAGTGGTGGAAAGACATAACATTAAACTCCTAGGCACTGCGTAGTACAGCACTGGGCAACTGAAACTGGAAGCTCTGCACCATAACTAAGGGTTTGAATATGATCATAGCCTGAGTAATCACTGGAGTGAATCCAGGTGTAGTGATACATGTGATCAATTCAAAAGTTCGAGAACAACCCAGTGTTCTGGATGAGTTGTAAAATGGCAACATAACCAAAAGGGAGTTACAATACAGTAGGTGTTTAACCACAATGCCAATATTTTCTGTTTTCATAGGCTGCGACTTTATGGGGGGAGTTTCCTGCTCAGTTTCTGGGTGTGGCTTGCAGTAGAAACTTTAAGAATAAACATTCAAAATAAGACATCTTTGCCATATAAGCAGTATAAATTAGGTATTGTTCAGTTAAGTCAGAATCATTACACTTTAGTCCATCAGCTGGCTTATTTTTGTTTCTTGCAAAAATCTAAAAACAATAAAAATATATTGAACACATTTTGTTGACAGTCAAAATTGCAAGGTAGTCAAAATAACTGAAGGAATTACTAATGTGTATTACACATGTATAACATTTTGTAAATACAACGCATGGTAGCAGGTGTGTTTTGTTTTTATATTAAGATGTGAATCTTCTGAGAGTTTTTCTTTTTCTGTATTTGACCTCTGTGGAGATAATGTGGGGAAAGTGGAAACCGGTCAAACTGGGATTTTCGAAATGTTTACTGTACACAGACATAGAAGGCTGATATAGATAGAACTGGGGCAGTCTAGCAAAATACTGGTTGGAGCTGTACGTCTTTATTTGTGGAATTATTGGCATCAGTGCAATGTTATCATAACTTTATTTGGTTTAAAGTTTACTGTTGTTTGCTTCAAATGTGTACTTTAAGTACATTTTATAATTTACAATTTACCCTGTTTAATTTCTTGTGTAGTGTGTGTTTTTTCCCAACATCACAGATAGAATTTATGAAAAGTTATAAAAATTAAATTTATAATGCAGCTATAATTCTGCAGGAAGAAAACTGCTTTTCTTTAAACTATTTTACCCCTTTGCAGGTGAACACCGTGTCTGGTGAGCCGGAGCAAATGCTGAATGCATACCCAGATGAAATTCAAGGGAGAGAACTCCTGGAAGGTGTGACTACTGATTATTCCAAACCACCTTACAGTTCTACGTGAGTCATTGCATGCACACAAATGGCATCTACAGTAATGAACAACTATGCAAGTATTTAGCATGCAGGTTTTAAACATTGAGACAAATAGAACAAATAATGCATGCGATATTGTGATATTAGCGGCAAGTACATTGTTTACCTCTATGTCGTGAAATGATATTTAATATTTGAAACAAAATTACTTTGCGAGCATTAGTGGGCTATATATTTTGAAAATTTGAAACATGATTTACCTTATATTAAAATTTTTTGTAAAATTGATTTTTATGACTACCGTTCACTGCAAAACAGGGGTGCAAAAAGTGGGGGGACAGGGGAGACCCTGATCCATCCCCCTCCCACTTTTGAGAGGAAAAAATAACAAAACTTTGATAAGTAGCATCATTAAATAGGGTTGGATACCGTGACGTTTGAACCCATAAAACTGTGTCGACCACCACAAACTACTCATAGCATGTGTTTGCTGCAGGTAGGAGTAGGACTCTGCTCACACGTGCGCGCATCACTGTACATACGTGTTTCCACTGTCTCAATTTATCTCCTTTTGTAGGTAGAGTAAAATGCATGCATTCCTATTATTATAATTAATAATAATAATAATAATACATTTTATTTAGAGGCACTAAAGGACACCTTACAAACACAATATACATTGTTGCAGTACATCAATAAAAAAAATAGCATTAAATAAAACAAAACAAAAAAAAAAAATAAAAAATTGATCAAAATAAAATTAAATAAAGAAGAAAACATAATTTGAAGGCTGCCAAAGCAGCAGAATCATAATGAGTATGCAAGATACAAGATTACTATTAGCCAATTTCCACTTCCACGATTACCTACAGATTTAACGAAGGATAAATAACTCAAACACCGTTGTCACTTTCTAAAACATTTTACTCAAAACCATATATACTTGCTGCATTTGTGACTTTGCACATTCTGTGTGTAATCCGCCGCTGCGGGTTTTGGGTCTTGAACAAGTTGAGAACTGAGCTGCCTTAAAAGCATGAAGATCCTGTCAGTGTTCTTTCAAATAGCAAGCAATGTTGGGAGACGTAAATTCTATGTATGTTTAATCTATACCAAACCTATGTTGGATGCAATTGTCAACATAATTTTCCCATACAGTAGCTCTGAAAGGCTAATTTGTCACTGCAACAAAGAAAATGACTTCAAATCTGACCTGATGTTAAATTGTTAGAATAAAGCTATAAATCTATGAATGTGTCCTCATATAAAATATAACATTACAGAGTATACCGGGGCTCAGTAAATTTAAACTTGCAACAAATTGCAGCGTAATCTGTTGTTTATCTATTGTCTAATAGGCCATTTCTGGGTGATTGACAATTCCATACCAGACAACATTGTAACATTATGTACATGTCGGCCAGTGTCAGTCAAAATGTTTAGTGTATTAAATCACATCAAATATCTCCTCAAGCGTGGCTGGATAAGCTTAAGGGTTGAGAACTTTTGCTCACTGTTTAGTTCCCCCAACTTCAAAAATCTCTCCCGCTCTCCTGTTGCAAAATATATATAAATTAGTTCAGCTGAGGCTTTTATTTTGTAAATATTTAATTATTTTATATGCAATATATATATAATTTTCCATTATGGAAAATAGATTTATTGTGCATCATTGGATCTGATTGAGCTTTTTTCTCTGTGTAACAGCACATGCTTCTCCAGAGTTATAATTTGTTCACTTCTTTGTTCTAATTTGTTCAGAGTTGCTGTTGAGATGAGCAGAGGGGTATATGTTTTGTTTCTGCTATGTTTAGTGAGCCAACGAAGAGCTGGCCATTGTGCAGTCCAGGTCCCCACAGTACAGAGTCAGAGGTCACCATCTCTGTAGGGAAGCCTAATACAAGGTCCGCTGGACACCGTGTTGATAGCCTGGATGACACAGACTATACCACAGGGGCTGAGTCTGGGGAGGAACTGGATGACAGTGATTTTGACAGGTAAGATGGTTGGTTATTTAAAAGCGCTTGGAAGATCTAAGGAAGTAAGTGTGAGGTTCTCTTCTTCAGCCATGTTTATTTCAGGGGTTAAGCTGAATTTTTGTTCTGGTCAGGAAAGTTTATTGATTTTTGGTATTTGAAAATTCTGCCTAGAAAATATATTCTGCTTGAAATTTGGCAGGTCATTCATATCAGTGTGTTATACTTAAATGTAGCATTGTGGGATTAACTGAGCAAGGGAATGTATATTTTTCATATATTCAGCCCACCAAAAAGTAGAATGTCCTGGTTTTGTTTCTATGAATTTGAATTCAAGCATAATTCTTTAAGTTTACTTTGAGTTCCTCACAGGAGCTGATTTCCCCCCTCTCTATCTTCTTTTTTAGTGAGTTTCCCACCATTACTAATGCTCAGAAAAGACTGGAATACAAACGGGAATTCGATAGGTACCACAAAGAATACAAGATACTGCAGGAAGAGCTGGATGATGTCAACAAGGGCCTCGTGGAGGTAGATCATGAGCTGCACATCATGCAGCCGGGCAGTTCACAGTACATGGTGAGTCCTTAGGCCATTATGTGCATTTCTAGCATATTATGTGCATGTGTGTAGTTTTATGGGTAAAATATCTTTTATTTTAATGGATACAGTCCCTAAATCTTGTTTGTTTAGATTTTATATTCTGTTAATAACCTCTCTCAACACAAACAGGATTCCATGGATGAATTTAACCGGCTGAAGAATCTGAAGAAGGTCTGTCTGAATCTTCCATAATTTGTTTAAAAGCTAAGTGATATGAGTATTGTGTCATGATGTACAATAATGTGCTTTATTACTCTCTTCTCAGTCTGCAGGCTACCAGATGAAGAAGCGGAAATGCAAGTATCTAAAAGCCAAATTGTCTCACATCAAGAGGAAGGTCAATGATTATGATGGGAGAGTATGACCTGGTTCAGTCTTGATCTTTACTTGTCCCCTCTACGGATTAAGATCTGTTTAATGGCATATTCAGAGTGCCGTCCTTGGAGATAGCCATAACCCTTTAATATCCCTTTAAGTAAAGTTTTAAGGATTTTCCTTTCTAAAAATAAGCATTTTTAAATGTGAGTTTCAGTTCCTCATCCGCTTAAATTTTTTTTTTTTTAACTTCCACTATTGTAAATAGAGGCATACTGTACTTTTTCATAACAGCTATTTTAGTAGAAAGATTTTATTAAGCATTGCTGCAAAGAATTTTATAGTAATTTAACTCTGCGTTTTTTAAATCATTGTTTTCTCAGGAAATATACTATGAGATATTTCAAATGTAATTTCTGAAAACTTTTGCACAGAATTGAATATGCTGCTGTTTTTATTGTACTGTTTTCAGCTGCATTTTTCAGATCGTCTTGTAACTACAATAAGTTTTTAAGTTTTACGTTATACGTTGTTTTGATGTTATAAATGAACTTTTCTCATATTTGGGGCTGTGTTACCCTGATGATATGCTCATTTGAGGGTTACCATCTTGAATTAGTGAAAAGAGAAAGATCTGGTTGGATACTTTCTAAAACTTCCTGCCACAAGGGAAAAAAATAGGTTCTTTCCACTGGTCTTGCATTGTTTTGTACTTTGTAAATATGTAATTTTCATTAAAAACATTATTAAGCATAAGTGTTCTTTATTATTATTCAATACTAAGATACTAGCCCGATTCTTACATTTCCGAAGCTGCTTTAAAGATATCAATTTAATTGTTGAGAACTGAAACTAGCATATTACAATGCTATATTCAAATTTCCTATACACAGGGAATATGTGCAACTTTATATAACCTAATAAAAATATGTCCACTATCCACGGCAGCAAATAGAACAAGTCAGGTTCACACTTGTTAAACCCTGAGCTGTGTCCTCAGGATCATCAGGATGACCAGATCATCCGTGTCAGGGAGGACATTTTGAGCTAGGACAGTATTTGTAAACTACAATTTCAATTAAAAGGAAATGGGGCCTGTACTACGAAGCGGGGTTACTGGCTTATCGGGGTAATTTATCGGATTTAAGGTAGTCTGGGCAAAATGTAAGCGAACGAATATGAAGTCTATTTAAACTGTGGTACCTTAAATCCGACAAGTTACCCCGATAAGCCAGTGACCCCGCTTCGTAGTACAGGCCACTGGATTACACTTAAGCGCCGAGTTCTTGCCGTGTGCTGACTGGTCAGTCTTCCTGTACGTGTTAGTAATATTAATGTGAAACAGCTGGATGAGTCTTTCAATCAAGGAATCAAACCAGTCAAAGCACAAGAAGAGCTTAACTATTTAGTCAAACACAGGAGCCTTTCAGTTTTAAGGCGGTTTGTAAAACCTGAAGCAGTGTCCTCCTCAACGCGGATTATCGAGTCACCCTACCGACAGTCTTCCTTTCACATGCATGTTTGTCTCATGTAAAGCAAGATGGGGTGTGGCGAAGAGAAGCATTCCAATAAACCTGTGTTTGTACTTGTGCAAATGGCAAATGAAGAAACATCTCATTACACCCGATACGGAATCGCACATATAAACACTTGCGTGTTATTAGGCTATATGGCGATAATAGCCTATTAACATAACAATAGGTTTATTCATATTTTTATTTTATTAATAATAATAATTTCAAAAATATTCACTGCAAATTCCATGTGTATTTCTGAGTAATAAATCAGTTACATTTATTTATCCAAGGCGATTTGTGATGGGTTGGGACAGTGATAAACACCGACAACTCGGAATTATTGTTATGTGCCTTGTAGGCAGGGGGACACATTTTAATGTAACGCAGGCCGCCTGACAGCCCGGCAGCCCCACAGCAGTTTGCTAGTGCGTACAGAAGTTGGCGATGTTCATTGAACTTAAAAATATGTATGGTAGCAAGCAATAACGTGGCCAGATTTCAAACGACTATTTTTTTATGCTTCTATAGGTGCGTTGGGTATGCTTGCAAAGTCGCTTTGCAGAATTTCTTTGTAGTATGCGGATTCTTTTGTGAATGTGGTCTGGATCTGTTAATAGCTAATAACTGGTTTCAGTCATTAAAATAACAGTCTTGTTGGCATTTTGATAGCTTGAGTATATGTAGATTATAGCGAACTATATTTGCAAGGATTTGTTTACTGACGTACTGAGAGTTGCAATATGTGATTAAAAAAAAATTATATTGTAACGTAAGAATAATTCCCTTTAAGTGCCTGATTCTTAGTGGATTTAGCTAATCTAACGAAATGGACGAAGAACCCGAAAGAGCTAAACGTTGGGAAGGTGGCTATGAGCGGACATGGTAAATGAAATACATCGTGTTATATTCCTTTTAGTGTTTTATGCTTATTTGAAATGGACTATTAATTTGGTGTGAAACTCCTTAACGTTTGTTCTTTTAAAATATCTATTTGTTATTTTAGCCACATCTCTTTAGTTTTATAGACTTTATGCATGTATATGTTAGTGAATTGTTGCCCGTACGCATAGTTGCTATGTAAAAGTTACATGAAGAATGCATTGGTTTGTCGTTATGTTGATAGCAGTTATAATAGTGTCTGGGGTTGTTGTACAGGGAGGTGCTCAAGGAGGATGAGACTGGATCACTTAAGGCTACAGTGGAGGACATCGTTTTCAAGGCCAAAAGGAAGAGGTAGGTAGATTTATTACCAAACACACTGTCTGGTTGACCATCTAGTAAGTCAGTCATCTGCCTTCACTTTTACACACGGATTGTCATTGTTTTCTATATATATATAAAAAAAACAACAAAATACCATTTAGCAGCTATAATATTGTCAGCATAGAAAATGACAAATGTCAAATAACACAGTGAGGTACTATGTACTGAAGTTATTTTGTTTTGTTTTTTTTGCCCTCATATTTCATTGACAAGGTTTGTACTGCAAATACAATCAACTTTAAAAACTGGGATATTTTTTCTAATGAAAGACCGTATATCTTACCTTTTATGAGTTAAAATAATTGCAGGAAACACACACAGATGAACCATTTATGGCTATTTATGGAATATTTCAAACAACTGAAACCAAAGCACAAATCACTCATGAAAAAGGTCACATTTTAGTTTTAATGTAAAAGGCAAATTCCCCAAAAAAGTAGAAAAAAATACTGTGCATTTCTTGTAAAAAAACCAAAAAAAAACAAAACTGTTTTTAGTGATCATGTCTGTCTGAACTTGATCACTATAAGTGGATGATCATTATAACTGATTTCTTTCCTTATGTCTCAGGCAGATTACCATCTAATTGATATTTATACATTTATTACATTGATATAAGGTAATAAAACAGACAGCGTCACTATTTACTGAATTTTATTGACTTTCAAGATACAGTAGTGCAGTTTCAAACACTTTTCAAGTTACAGTACTGCACACATTAAATGACTGAACTGTGTATAATTCAAATGCTCTATTATACAGTACAGTACTGTACATAAAATATAGCTCATTTTAGTTTCGATATAGCCTCTCGTTGGCTTGTTTTTGGTCACGTTATCATTAAGTTTGATGAGTCTATATTCAAAATTGAGAGAAAATTACTTCTTTTTCCCGTCATGTTTTCTGTACATGCAGCATTAGCCTCAGGTAGCTAGCCAGAAGCAGATGGGTTACCGCAAGGCAAAGTAATTAATTTTTTTTCCATATGCTATGTATCAAAGAACCTAAATGTACACTGTGAATGGACTGCTTGATTGCTGTAAACAAATTATTTAGACAGTATTTGTACAGGAATGATTCTGTCCCAAGCTTTTTGATATATATATAGGCGGTTGATCACTATAACCATGATCACTATAATCAGTTTCCACTGTATTTTAAATATTGCTAGTGTTGAAACCACTTCTAACGGACTTCAAGGGATCTGGCAAAAGTCTGTTATTTCCAAAGTCCGTAATATCCAGAGTTGCTGTATGGCCAGAACACAACTACAGGACACTATTTACTCATGCCACACCCCAGCAGACACACCTGTGGTATAGATTATTATATTGTACATGTAGTAATCCAACTTTACCTGAGCAGATGCGTAACAATTAATAATCCCGACTACGTTTCCCGTGCTGGATATCACCGGTGTTATGTCGAAAAAGGCATCCCTGCCGTAGAATGCATGCCGGTGTTCTGACGAGTTGAGTTTTTAGGGTTTTTTTTGGGGATTAGGGTTAGGGCTATCGATTAGCAAAACGGTAGCCTTACTCGACAAAGTAGCTCAACTCGTGTCAGATCAGCGACCAATCGGTCATTTAGAGACAGGCATGCATTCTACGGCAGGGATGCCTTTTTCGGCATAACACCGGCACACCACGTGCCTTGTAGGCGGATCCTGCATGTCCGTACAAAACTACAGCTAAAATCGGCCCTGGGGACCAAATTGTTTGTGCGTTATAAGCGAAATTCCGTTACATGCGAGTCCGCTGTATCCGATGCTTTTTCTGCATATTCTTAAAGGCGCATGGCCGGGATCAGCGGACCTCGTCCGTTATATATGATATTCCGTTATAAGCGAGTCCATTATAACAGGATTTTACTGTATTACCTTTGGTATCTGAAAATGTCTTTCCGCAGTGTTTATATTTGACCTTTTTGGTCGGTGTTGTCTTCACTAAAGCCACAATGTGTCCAAATGATGAACACGGCCCTTTTCTGTGGCACAAGCTGCTTGAGATGCTCAGTCAGCTCGGTGTTTCAGTCAGTGCGCCTCCATGCTACTTCCATGTCGCAGGCTGGACAGGGTGGAGTCACGTGACAAAACGTACTGCAGTACCACGTGTGTTAAGGGGGCAGTACATGAACACACACTGGGGGGTATTAGAATGAATTAAAAAAAAACGAAGTAACCGACATGGACAAGATTTCGTCAGTTAGAGGTTCTGAATGTCAGTTTTGATTAATTGCCCAGCCCTATACTGAAGTACTGAGAGGATTATTCTGAATATAATATGTACTCCATACAGTTAACTGTGTTGATTTAATTTCTTGATAAACATTTGGAAAATGCTCACTTGTTCTGACATCCTTGTCTGTCATGTTTTTCTTCCTAGAGTTTTCGAGAGCTATGGAAAAGTGCGGCTGGGGATGGTGAGCGGCAGTATGGTCTTGTTCAGTGCAGCCCTACAGTTTCCAAATTCTTAATTAACGTTACACTGTTCTTCTGAGTGCATCCGGCATGACTGTCTTGTTTAGAGTTCTGAAAAATGTATTGAATCTAGAGAAATGTACTCATAAATGTGGGTGTTTTTTTTTTGTGCTTCAGATGCGCCACATGTTTGTGGTGATTGATACTTCAAGGACAATGGAGGACCAGGACCTGAAGCCCAACAGACTGACCTCAACTCTAAAGGTTAGTGGCATGCCTGCATTGCACTGTGCATTCGCTGTGTAGCATTTTAGACATTGTTTTCTTACCGTTGATTTATGTTCACCCACAGCTGATGGAATACTTTGTTGATGAATACTTTGATCAGAATCCCATCAGTCAGGTACATGTTTTGAAAAGAATGGCCAGCAGACTTTTCGTTCATATTTACATGCAGAGCAGCTCTGAAATGTCAAACGCCACTACGTTATGCATTTCAGATAGGGATCATCACTACCAGGAACAAGAGAGCTGAGAAACTGACAGATCTGGCTGGTAGGTGCAGTGTAGGTCTGTTACGTTCACTGCACGTGAATTTATTAGAACACTATATGCAAGCTTATTTTTGTCCATAGTAGGACGTAATCATGCAATCAAAATTCTTTTGCATAGTGTAACCTTTTGTTGTTGAATATTATTGTAATGTTATTACTTTTAGTAGTTAATACTAAATGTCTCAAACATGAACAGATGTGTTTGCTCTGAAAACATGGTTGTGTTGACAGGTAACCCGAAGAAGCACATTTCTGCCTTTAAAAAAGCCGTGGACACCCCTTGTGCTGGGGAACCCTCCCTCTACAACTCCCTGAACCTGGCTATGCAGACGCTCAAGTACGTCAGCTTCAGCCCGGTTTTGGTTTGTGACTCATGTTCATGATCATGCAATCAGCCCATACTAGTTTTGGCGGCAGGAGCTGCAAGAGTGAGTTTTACTGGGTTTGAGTCCTGCTTTTCTCCTGTAGACACATGCCTGGTCACACAAGTAGGGAAGTGCTTGTAATTTTCAGCAGTCTCACCACCTGCGATCCAGCCAACATCTATGAGTTGATCAAGGTAAGTGCTTTGTCTGTTTTTCATTTAAAAAGCTGTGCTGTAAAGGCCACAAAGTCACTGTGCAGAGAATTAGGATAAAATGTTTTTAAGGGAGGGATTTGGCTAATTTCAAGGAGGGTTCAAAATCATTATTTTACTATCTGGCTATGTGCCTGGTCAGGGGTCAAACATTTTGGGGTGGGTTTAAATCTGTATTTTTACTACATGGCTACATGCCTGTCTGAGTCAGCTTATAGTTAAGGATGCCACAGTTGCAAATTTGTGGATTCAAATCTCTGAATACACACTTTTTTTCAGTTTTAATTGTTTTCATAATTGTTGTGCTAAGAACTTGGCAAGCTTTGCAATTTTAATGATTGTTCCTTTTCAAGATTATCTAATATATTTTTGTTTAAAATCAGTGTAAAGTTTACTGCTGCTGCTTTTGCATGTGCTCATATTCATCAACTGCCAGACCCACTCAGACAGTGTGGCGTGTTTGTGAGAAGTTTAACGAGAGCAAGTGAGGAGGATAAAAGCAAATAAGAAATGGCACTGAAACATTTAATCGTCTTCTGTGTGGATATGTTTTGGATTTCATGGAGAGGGTATTGAGCAAAAAGCAAGTGATTTGTCAGCATAAATCATGTCAACACCGCCAGCTCTGTTGGTGGACAGTAACGAGATCTGTTTGGGTATAGTTTATTTTGGATGAATTTTCAACTCATTTTTTCGTTTTATGAATACCACAATATTTATTGTAAAAAAAAAAAAAATCACATGAAGATACTGTGCAGCCCTTCGACATGTGATATTTTGTGTCTGCTTTGTGTGACCAGAGTTATTCTCCCTGTGATGGATAGGTGGGTAAAAAGCACTACTGTCTTTCCTAGACACTAAAGGGGCTGAAGATTCGGGTGTCTGTGATCGGGCTGTCAGCAGAAGTGCATGTCTGCACTATCCTGACGCGGGAGACAGGAGGTGATCATATAATCCACACTATGTTTCTTTAGCTCTCTTTGCTAGTGACTCTCTTTAAATAGTCTTCGTTGTATGATTGTATTAGCACTTTTAATTATAATTAAACATTTTCATACATTTCATCATGTTCCCCTCCTTGTTCCTGTCCCTAGGAACTTACCATGTGATTCTGGATGAGAGTCACTTCCGTGAGCTTCTGACGTTCCACGTCAAGCCGCCGCCTGCCAGCTCCTCCTCTGAGTGCTCTCTTATTCGCATGGGTACGTCAGAGCCCCTGGAGACCCACGACCATCAGGAATCATGGGTCTTCCTTTGCCAGCTGATACTCTAGACCAGGGGTCACCAATATGGTGCCCGTGGGCACCAGGATGCCCCCAAGGACCACACGACTCGCCCGCGGACCTGTTCTAAAAATAGCACAGCTCGCCACTGAGCAGCGTCTAAAATTTAATTTTATCCTGTTGCTAATCTTCTTTAATCACATTTACATTGAAAATGACAATATCTAAAAAAAAAAAAAAAAACATTTAAAACATGTTTATTGTACATGAAGTTTAGATAAGTTTAGGAGGGCGTTTCAAACTGGTAGCCCTTCGTATGGCTCAGTACCTGTGAAGTAGCTCTGTTTCAAAAAGGTTGGTGACCCCTGCTCTAGACAGATGGTGTAATTATGTTACACTGCCATTCTTTGACTCCAGTTTCCTTTTTTACAAATAAACAACAAATTTATTTTTGTATAGCGCATTATCACAACATTACATTGTCCCAAAGCGCTTTACAGCATCCCCACCCAAAGCCCCCAGTGAGTAAGCCATTGGCGACAGTGGCAAGGAAAAACTCCCCAGAAGGAAGAAACCTTGGGAGGGACCAGACTCAAAGGGGGAGCCCATCCTCCAGGGGCCGGCAGGGAGAGTCAAATACAGTTAAATCTGAAACACAAATGGGGAGCAGGGGGGAGATGACAAGCCGGTGCCACAACTCCCTCCAATCGCCAGGCAACCAGAAGGCAGGGAGCGGGTCATACATGGAAGATGACACAGGCAGAACGGCGAGCTGGATGCACGGACGTCATTGGTAGTGGCGACGTCACATGTTGCAGGGTGTGCTGGATATCTTGATAGATTGAGGTCTCCAGGCAGCTCTCCCCCAGGAGGAGTATGGGAAATAAAATATGCAACCAGTCAGAGTAGGAGAGACTATAGGCAGTGCTAAAAGTTAGGTGAGTGCAATATGAAGTGCAGTGTGCAAGCTCCGGCAGATTTGGCTATGGCAGCATAAGTAGGAGGGAGAGGCAGGTGGGAATGCAGGCATGGGGAGTCCCTGAAATGACAGCACTCCAATCCCACAAGCGATTGTGAAGCTAGAGTGACAGCACTGTCAATTCAGTTTATCCAGAGCCAATGGCACCGATCCCCACCCAGCTCAACACCTCACACTATAGGTCTAACTGGGAGTGAGGAGTTAGGGGCAGTTTTAAAGGGGCAGTTCACCCCAAAACTGAAAAAAGATATCTTTTAGATGGGCTTTAATACTATCTATCTATGTAGGTTGTTCTGCTGGGAGTTGGCTAGTTTTGGAGATATCAGCCGTAAAAATGTTGGAACTATTTTCTTCTACCGAACTCCACACAACAGTCATATCACTGCACAGAAGATATCGCCGGGGTACCCATGCTCGTATCTTCTGCACAGTGATATGATTGGTGTGTGGAGTTTGGTAGAGGAAAATAGTTCCAACATTAAGCTGCTCATTACTAAGTCTGAGGATTATCATGAGTAACCTGGTCATGATTTCTGGTAAGAGACATTGTTGTTGAATTTTTCGAGTATCTTTTGGCGCTTTAATCACTGCAGAAAAAATGCCGTTTGGTCCAGTTTATGTTTCAGAGAAGAATGGGATGAACTGCCCCTTTAAATTACTTTGTGAAATGTCTCTGGCGGGGGATGGTAGTCTTTCTTTATTTATTTGTTTGATTATAAGATGTTTCTCTCTATGTGATGCAGTGCCAATAAGGAAACATTCTCTTCTTTTACCAGGATTCCCCCAACATACCATAGCCTCTGTCTCTGATCAGGATTCCAAACCTTCCTTTAGTATGTCGTGAGTATTCATTCAGTTGGTTTTCATATTTGCTGTTGTGGAAGGCAAGCCGCAGTGTAGTAATCGATATAAATTTCTCTATTTTTGTTTGTTCCTTTATTCATTGAAATGTTCATTTGTCTTTGTTCATTCTTTCATTCATTCATCCAAACACTGAAACTCAGTTTAATATTCCTGTCAGCTTGTTAAATGCATTGAAATATCAGTGTTGACTGAAGAGAGTACACTGCTAAAAACCAGCCAGATTTTCCACTACCCTCCTTTATATACACGGCTCAAAAAAATTAAAGGAACACTTTGGAAACACATCAGATCTCAATGGGGAAAAAATCATGCTGGGTATCTATACTGATATGGACTGGGTAATGTGTTAGGAATGAAAGTATGCCACATCGTTTGATGGAAATGAACATGATCAACCTACAAAGGGCTGAATTCAGACATCCTGAAAATCAAAGTGAAAAAATAATACGGCAGGCTCATCCATTTTGCCGAAATTTCATTGCAGCAACTCAAAATCATACTCAGTAGTTTGTATGGCCCCCACGTGCTTGTATGCATGCCTGACAACGTCGGGGCTGCTCCTGATGAGACGACGGATGGTGTCCTGGGGGATCTCCTCCCAGATCTGGACCAGGGCATCACTGAGCTCCTGGACAGCCTGAGGTGCAACCTGGTGGCGTCGGATGGACCGAAACATAATGTCCCATAATGTCATGCTACCAGTAGTTATACTGCCGGTCGCCAAATGAAAAACTAGTGAAAACAGTCAGAAAAGATGAAGAGGGAAAAATGTCAGTGGCCTCCGCCTGTTAAACTATTCCTGTTTCGGGGGTCGTCTCATTGCTGCCCCTCTAGTGCACCTGTTGTTAATTTCATTAACACCAAAACAACTGAAACTGATTAACAACCCTCTCTGCTGCGTAACTGACCAGATCAGTATCCCAGAAGTTTATCTGACCTGATGCTATACTCTGTTTAAAAAGTGTTCCTTTAATTTTTTTGAGCAGTGTATATAGGGCAAATTTTACATTTCATCAGTAGGGGATGCTAAGTCAGTAGGATTCAAGTCTACATCTTTCCGGGGCTAATGAAGATGACACATCTCTTTGCAGGCACCTTGATAGCAACGGTGGTCCTGGCTTGACCCTGGGGGGGTACTACTGCCCTCAGTGCCGTGCAAAGTACACAGAGCTGCCTGTGGAGTGCAAGGTCTGCGGTACGTCTAGAAGCCGCCGCTAGGATGAGAGGCAGCTGCCGTCCTCTCAGAGGATGTAGCAGTGCGGTTATAAGTCTCCATCCATCCATCCATCCATCTCTATCTGTTTTCCAGTATTGGGTATCCCTGGAAGTACAGGGCACAAGATGGGGGGCAACCTGTACAAGCTGCTAATCCATTGCAGTTTAATATTTTAATCTTTAAATATAATACTAGCAAGTGTTGGTCTAATTGGTTGCATCAAATTATTTTATAAGCCAGTTCTAAAGCTCCGATCACAAATTGTGGACTAAAATCTGTGATGAATAAAACATTATATCTATATCTTGCTACAGTTCATAATTTAAATGAAAATAAAGTGCCGTTGAGCCTCGATTGCCCTGTACATTCTCCCAGAAGAGTGTGGGGGTAGCAGCTATCAGACTGGCTTAGGAGTGCTTGGAGCTGGGTGGCTCTGTCAGGAATGTGACATCCCCGGGGGGCGCTCTGCCCGCAGGTCTGACTTTGGTTTCAGCTCCTCACCTGGCAAGATCGTTTCATCACCTCTTCCCAATGGATGCCTTTCAAGAGATGCCCCTGGAGGATGTCCAAGGGGAAAGGTACAGTCAGCTTATGGCACTTCAGTAATACTCATGTTAATTACACACACTTACTGATGATCTTTATAACTAATTGTTGTTATTCACTCATTTCAGGTTCTGTCAAGCATGCCAAGGGGAACTGAAAGACAAAAGTGTAATTATTATACCTTTTTCAACATCAGTATGGAGCGTCTGCACGCCATGCATTGATTTCAGTCGGTTGTTTGACGGTGCACTTCTGCTTATTTCTGTGTGCTCCGCAGGTGTATGCATGTCCGGTTTGCAGCAGCACGTTCTGTGTGGAGTGTGACCTGTTTATCCATGACACTCTGCATTGCTGCCCCTGCTGTATACATAACCAGACTGCACCCTGAACCCAGGAAGCCAGAAAAGCAGAAAGCATTTACCTAAAACCATGGAAGCAAAAACCTGAGTCGGGCTGCAGCAGCGTTCCTGTGTACCTCAGTCAGCGGACCAATGGCATTGAATTTTCCCCCCAAAACAACCTTATTCATTTTTTTTTCTTTTCTTTTAACTGATTACCTATGTTTTTTTTTCCTTTTCAGCATATGCTGTTATGGAATATTACTGATGCTACAAAATGAAAACATCTGAACTCGGGTTATTTTTTTTCTTCTTCTTTTTTTTTTTTTTTTAACTAGTCCTACCTAAAATGGATTCATATTTACTGTATAAATACTGCCTCCACTCGTGGAAAAAGTCATACTGCCAGTGATCATTGATTTATATGTATACACCTTTTGTTAAAAACAAATTAAACTCGTTGAGACTTGCAATGTGGAAAAATTAACATATTTCTATGAATAAAATGTTAATTGAACATTCTTTTTGGATGATTGTATATTATATTTTTTTTGTTAACAATGTTAGTATTACGTCTGTAGATGTATGTTTACTGTCACATACAGTACCTGTGTGTATATTGCTACATGTTTTATGGTTGAAATGCAGCACAAATTTCTTTTTCTTATAATGGCTGGTATTTAATGATGTAACTTTTGCATTTTTAATCATCTTTTTATGACCCATTTTTGTACTTGCCCTGTGAAACCCTGATCATTCATGCTTTATTTATTTTTGTTTGCTGTGAAGAATATACTTTTAATGTAGCTATTTAATTATAAATTGTTTTTCTGTACTTTGACAACAGACAATTGTACAGAAATATTTTTTTAATTATACAGATAAAAGCAAAACAGCCTAACATCTTGTCACACTTTAAAAGTGTAATTCCAGATACATTCATGAGTAAAATTTCTAGACTTTTTCCAGTGCTGTGCTTCCTAATGGACCATAAAACTTGTCTCCTGTATTGACGTCATACCAGATTCCTTTTGCCCAGTAGCTTTAAGTTGAAGAATGGTTCCTCGTGTGTGTCTGGGACATCCACACGCAGTGCTTTTCACTGGGGGAAGCCGCCAGTGCGGCCAGGCTGGCGTGTTCTGCTGGCTGTTCTGGAGCACTTGCTGAATACAGCACTGCCCTTCCAGCCTCTTTTACCTTAAACAACTCCCACACCAAAATGATAATTATCCACCGCATAGATGGGTCATTGTGTAAGTTTTGTTGTGGGGAAAATTACTCTGAACAAGGATCCAGAATATCAAGGTGCTTGGGTTTGTTATCTATGAAAAGACATCAGTAACATGATTATTATATGTTTGGATATTGCAAGTACTTGTAGTTCATGTAAAACTTCCTAAAAAAACCCCTGGTTGTTTCTGTAAAGAGGGTGGATTGACCTGGGTGAGTCACGAAGAGTAAGATATGGAGAACTCTGTTAGCAGAGAACTCCAATGATGATTTATTGTCATATGTATTAAGTAAATATAATGAAATTTTTATTTGTCTCTTCACAGCCTGACAATAAGTAGAAGTACCAAGTTGCAGCCATGAAGATGTACATAAATACAATGCAAGAACTAATGAGCAAGTCATGCATTCAGATATCAGATGGGTTTTTGGCAGTATATCAGGGACAATATGAAGCTTTTTGTCCTGGTTGATTGTGACAGCCTACACCTTTGATGGTTCGCCATACGCCGGACGTGATGATGGACAGGGACATGTTGGATTGACAGATCTTCAGCCATGGTTACTATGCTGTGTTCAGGTACCACACCTCCTAAAAGCAACCAGACTCACGATTAAGTCTTACGTTTAGTAGTTTGAAGCACAATCAAAAGCTTTCAGCTTAACATTATCTGCCAACAGGAAAAGTGTCCAGAGGCACTGGGTCACAAAACTGCTAGTCGAGGCAGTGCCTGTGGTCGACCATACTGTGCTGGCCACAAAACCATGGCTGTACAGTGTTCAAATTCTGCCGAATAGTGATGTCACAGGAACAGTTTTAGCATTGTTCAGACTAGTAAGTATACCAGTAGGCTACATTTTATTATTGGATTTCATCCATGTGTTGAATAGCTTTGTCAACACAGGGCTACTTGCCATGGATCCAGGCAAAAACCAGTAGGTAGTGGTACTGTAAATAATACAATTTTGTAAATGTTTAGAGATTATATAAAATGAAGCTGTCACATGAGTGTAACACCTGCCACCAGCCAACATTCCTTGACACCAGGCCCAGCCAGACCAAATCTGAATATTAGATGCACTTGTTGCATATCTCCCAAGTAGCCTAAGGCCACTTCAGTATCATAAAATATTTGTGAGGATTTGAGCATCCTCTTTGCTCATCTGGTTCCGGGGTTCTTGCCTGTTTTCTTCTTGTGATTTTGATTTGACTGTTATAGGTGAAGTACGCCCTACAATGGGATGGCACCCCAGCCTGGGTTGTTCCCTGTTTTGCACCTGTAGTCTCCGAGATATGCTCTGGACCCCCTGTGACCCTGAACAGGACAAGCAGTTATAGGAAATGAATGGATGTATATTAAAATATCTACAAATTAGAGCATTCAGCATATATAAGAATTATCCCTCTTGACTATGTCACTGTGTGGGCGAAGTTTGTGTGTTCAGTTTGGTGCATCTTTTGCACGTTTGACAGTGCAATATGCTTGGTCTCTCTATGAATCTGGATAGAGTAATTAGCTTCGATACCATCTGATAAAAGCGACTTAATGCAGCATCTGCACTAGTAGGGAGAAGCCGAGTGAAGCTCAGAACATCACTGGAAAAGATTCAAAGTGGTATGTTGTTCAAGAGCCAGTCAGTCATGATGTACCCAATATCTTTGAACTGCGCTAAGCCCCAATCCAACAGCTACTATAAAAAAGCAATTATAATTATATGAATCATTTAATGTCAGTCCTTTTCCTGGCATGGCCTTCAGATATGCATGCTTTTTGAGCAATGGAAAGTGTTTGTACCAACATGCTGATGACCTTCAGTCATCCTGATGTCATTGGCTAGAAGCTGGCAGGAAACTCAATAATAAAGACATTAGTATTTTTTTTCAGTCACACAGTCCTCCCCCCATGCAGAGTCCAACTCAGCTCTTACAGACGTGGACAAATTTGTTGGTACCCTCATTGAAACAATGCTTCATTTCTCCTGAAAATTGATTCAATTAAAAGCAATAGTCTAATGTATACCTGCATCCCTTTAGTATGTGATAAACCAGTAAAGTTGTAAAAAAGAAATGATTTGTTGTTTATTTCACCAAAAATAGTATGGACAGATTTGTTGGTACCCCTAAAGAGACTATTTGTCTTTGCATTATAGTCATGTTTCAAACTAAGTGTTTAACCTTAATTAGTATCACAGGTGCCTTCAAGCTTTTCCTCAGCCATTCAGCCCATATAAAGGGAAAGAACATGCTACTGTGCTGCTTGGTATCATTGTGTGCACCGCACTGCACATGGACCAGAGACAGCAAAGGAGAGAGCTGTCTGAGGAGCTCAGAAAGAAGATCGTGGGTAACCATGTTAAAGGTAAAGGCTATAAGACCATCTGCAAGCAGATTCATGTTCCTGTGACCACAGTTGCCAATGTTATTAAAAAGTATACAGTTCATGGGACTGTAGCCAACCTCCCAGGACGTGGACACAACATAAAATGCAACCCCAGGTTGACCAGAAGGACAGTGCAGATGGTAGAAAAAGAGTCAAGGAAACCATCCAAAACCATTCAAGCTGAGCTCCAAGGTCAAGGTACGTCACTTTCTGATTGCACCATCCGTCACACTTTGAACAATAATGGGCTCCATGGAAGAAGACCCAGGAGGGCTCCACTACTGACAGAAAAACATAAAAAGCCAGAGTGGAATTTGCCAAAATACATGTTGACAAGCCTCAAAGTTTGAGACAATGTGACACAACTGAAGCTTTTTGGCTGGTCAATTGATCTTAATCCTATAAGATCTGAAAACTGCGGTGTGGAGACGCCACCCTTCAAACCTGAGACAGCTTGAGCAGTTTGCTCCGGAAGAGTGGGCCAGACTACCTGTTGGCAAATGCAGACGTCTCTTCGTGAAGAACAGAGATCGCTTGTTGGCAGTGATTAAGAACATAAGAAATTTACAAACGAGAGGAGGCCATTCGGCCCATCAAGCTCGTTTGGGGAGAACTTAACTAATAGCTCAGAGTTGTTAAAATCTTATCTAGCTCTGATTTAAAGGAACCCATGGTTTTAGCTTCCACTACACTAGCAGAAAGACTATTCCATACTCTAACTACATGCTGTGTAAAGAAGTGCTTCCTCAAATTTGTTTTAAAATGTTCTCCCACTAATTTCCACTTATGAGTTCACATGAGTTCTAGTATTCAGACTAATATTGAAATAGTCGTTTGGCTGAACAGCATCCAGACCCGTTAGAATCTTATAGACCTGAATCATATCCCCCCTTAGTCTCCTTTGCTCAAGGCTAAACAGATTCAGTTCCGCTAACTTCTCCTCATAAGACATTCCTCTAAGACCAGGAATCATTCTCGTAGCTCTTCGTTGCACCTTTTCTAAGGCACCAATGTCCTTCTTGAGGTATGGTGACCAAACCTGCACACAGTATTCTAGGTGGGGTCTTACCAAGGAATTATATAAGTGTAACATCACCTCCCATGACTTAAACTCCACACATCTAGAGATATAACCCAACATTCTGTTTGCCTTTTTTATTGCTTCCCCACACTGGTGAGAGTGGGACATGGAAGCATCAACATACATACCGAGATCTTTCTCGTAATCAGCTACCTTTATTTTAGTGGAACCCATAAAATATCTGTACTTTATATTTCTGCTCCCTGCATGGATTACCATTTATCTGTGTTAAATTTCATCTGCCAAGTATCAGCCCATTCGCTAATTAAATCCAGATCCCGTTGAAGCCTCTCTGCTGCTAGATTAGCATCTGCTACCCCGCCCACCTTGGTGTCGTCTGCAAATTTAACCAGTTTACTGTATGTATTTGTGTCAATATCATTAATGTACATTAGGAACAATAGTGGTCCTAAAATTGAACCCTGCGGTACCCCACTATGAACGGAGGCCCACTGTGACATTGTGCCTCTAATAACTACTCACTGCTTCCTGTCAGTTAGCCAGTTTTTGATCCAAGCTGCCACAGTTCCTAAAATCCCTGCAGCTTTAAGCTTTAGCAAGAGCCGTTTGTGGGGGACAACATCAAAGGCCTTCTGGAAATCTAAGTAAATCACATCATAGGCCTTTTTGTGATCAATTTCCCTTGTAGCTTCCTCAAAGAACTCAAGTAGATTCGTTAAGCAGGATCTACCTCTCCTAAATCCATGTTGGCTATCCTTTATAATGTTATTTGCATCTAGGTAATCTACCATTTTCACTTGAATTATAGCTTCCATTATTGCTGCAAAAGGTGGTGCCACAAAATATTAAATTAAGGGTACCATCGTATTTTTTATATATATTTTTCCATGCCATTTTCATTAATTTAATTTATATAAAATATTCAATTGAATCAAAAGCAGTCTGATTTGTGGTAATTATGGAATAAACAATAAGGGATACCATTAAACATTTATCAGTTTCAGGTTATTTTGGAGATAATTGTGTTTTTTTTTTGTTTTTTTTTTTGTAGAAAGGTGCCAACAAATTTGTCCACGTCTGTAGGGGTGATTGGTTAATAGTTCTGCTCGACACTCAAATGAACAGACCAAAACACACAAGCCAGATGACCCAGTAACTAAACTTTTTGCCTAGGGTGCTCTGGTACCATGTACACTTGTGTACAGACCAGCCCTTTTTTAGAATAACTCACCACTCAGGTTTAAATCTGGAAGACTATTTTTCCTAGTTTGTTTGGCCTCTTCTTCACAGACATGTTTGTCAAGGAATCCATATCCACATCTTAAACCAAGCACTGGACACTTGACAATAGTTCCTCAAACAAAGCTGAACTACGCAAGCTTTGCACCAAGGTCCCCTGCTACTCGCGGTCAAAGCCAATGAACAATAAAGCTTATATTTGCTTTCTCCATTACCAAGGCCATCGACTCGCATTGTAATTTAAATTCAGTTTAGCTAAATAACTAAACAGGATAAACATAAGCATATGTGTGCAGGTGTGTGTTAGAAATACAGAAATGTTAAAATTAATCATAAAGATTAAACTTGGTTCCTGGCAGTAACATACTGAATCATATTTACTGGCAAATTTCATTTTTATTTATCATTTGACTACATTAATTCACCCAGCGATATCCAAGTGCTTTCGATGTGACATTAGCACCTTACTTGATTGTCTTCATAATTTGTCCTTTTCTTGGTGGCTTCCAAAACGGTCTGTTTCAGAGTCTTGTTCAAATTGAATAAGATCCTGAAATCTGACATTCAGCTTGAACATTTACCTTGAAAATCTAATCACAACATATTCATCTGTCTTTTATGGTGCCTGTAAAAAGTTCAAGGTGTTGAT